GTGCTGAAGGCAGGGAGGAAGCAGAGGGACGCGGACATCTTCGCTCCCCTAATTTCCTCCCTGCCTTCTGCAGCCATTTTGCACCAGCAGAGCTGAAGGGAGGTGTGAGAGGGGAGAGGAGGGGGGCGTTGGGCTGCGGGGGATGAAGGGAAAAGAGTTACGGAGCAAAAAGGCAGCCATGGGAGATCCCGACTGGTATGCCTGGTAAGGCTGGCTCGCAGCAGCTATCATCAACATCATGGTGAAAAGGAAAAGCTCAGAGGGCCAGGAGCAGGAGAGCGCCCGTGGCATCCCTCTGCCCATCCAGACCTTCCTGTGGAGGCAAACCAGGTGAGAGCAGCGAGCCCTAGTTACTTGGGATACAGCTGCAACAGGGCAGTGGGAGGAGGGGGGGCGAGCCAGCTGCGGCCCAGCAGCGGGGGAGAAGCGGTTGTTGCAGCTGCAGCATAAAGGTGTAAAACAGACTGTTCTCTTTGCAATCGATATAGAGCAATCTGCATGTGTTGGGGGTAGGGGGAGGACTGGAGCCAGCCTAACCTAACGGCAGCCCCAGCAGGTTCTTAATTTGACTTTAAAACATCCATATATATGTGTGTCTGTGCACCTTTCCCCTCCTCCCTGTCCTCTTCTGTCCTGCCCCTCCACCCCCACTTTTAAGAGGACTCCTGGAGGTCTGGTACCAGAAGCAGCATCCCTCAGTGCTGCACCGGACTCACAGCTTTGCTTATACCTGTATTTGCAACCGTTCTAGAAGTGTAATTTATGCTTTGAAAGGTCAGCATGCAAACAGATACGTCAAAGTCTCACCTTATTTCATTGGATTGAAGATTGTCTGAGGGGCAGGCTGAATGTATGGCTGGGGCTTTATATTCCTTGTGAATCCTGTCTGTCTCCTGTCTTAATAGAATTCTAAATTGAAAACACTGCAGAGTCTATCTGGGGAGGTTGGAAGCTTTGAAGGTTGTGGCTCTAATTTAAGGCCTCAGTCACAAAATCTCTTTATTCCACACTTTCAGTGCCCTCCAAAAAAAAAAAAAAGCTATAATAAGGTGACCTCATTCAATTTTTTAGTATTTAACTCTGATCCCATTCTGGAGGGGAATGACAACAGAGAGTAGGTGTTCTCTACCAGCAGGGTACAGGCCTGCATTTCATCATAAGCCTTCCACATCAGCAGCTGTGGAGGAAAATATTTAACACAAAACTGGTAAATGGATCTCTGGTGTAAAATAGCAGCAAGGCAGAGGTCACTAATATTTAACATGTTTTAAACAGAATATATTGAAAATCTTTCACTGAGGTAAAATGGCTGAAAAACTGTCTGATGGAAGATTTTATCCATGGGAAACAAGACTTTTCTTGAGGGTGGATTAACTACCTCTTGGCATATCAATATGGGTACTTTTGTCTTCTAGAAAGGGTCACAGGATTTTGCCAGATGTCATCAACAGGTATCTAAATATTTTTTTTGGCGTTATGTCTTCCTTTAAGTTTCTCAGCCTTTTGCCAGCCTTCTAACATGAGAAGAATTCTGAAGATAACTAAGAAAAATCCACACTTGAAGTACTGGGTCTTGAATAATGCTTTTTCTTCCTTTCTTCAGTGCATTTTTAAGACCTAAACTGGGGAAACAATATGAAGCTTCCTGTGTGGTATGTACATGTTTCTCTTTTTCAACTCTTATTAATAACTAACTTTTCATACAACTTGATCTGGCCACAGCGGCTGGTCAGCAAGCTTCTTGGCATACCTCAGAAGTAGATTTAGTCTGTTCAGCTTAATTTTGTACTTTTATCACATGGAGGATTTGAAACCTTTTCCCATCCAGAGAATTTGGGTATCATGTGCATCTCTAGACATAAGAAAAATATATTGATTTGGATATTAATAATTGAATTAATTAGTAATTAAATAAATTGAATAATGATATGGGCAGACTGAGTTATGACAGTCCGGGTCTAAACCTGCATTTCGTCATGTGTGTATTGCTTTCAGATGAGACTGATGTGATTTCAATTCACAAATGCTGGATTTTTCCCAGACTTAAAATAATAAAAATCTAAACATTACTAAGAGGCTTTAAACCGTACTTTTACCATGGTGCAAGATGGAAATGTCTCCAGTACTAGAAAATAGAGGGAGCATGTGTTAACAGCATAATTAAAAAGAGGTTATTATGCAGACAGTGGCAACTTATTTCTAACTGTATTTAGAATGAAACCTCAGTCTACTGTCTGAAGGGAGCAGAAAGGGAAAGCATACAGCAAGTCCAAACGAGATAGGTATCTAGGGAATTCCAGAGTTCCTTGAACTGTTGCTGGTTTTTGGTTGACTTAAAGTACATTTAACAGTTGTAGCTAAACTTGACAGACTGGAAAAACGTGGTCTAGACATGTATCTTAATAGTTTAAAGTCTCTCTGCAACAATTTCCTGACTTCCTTCTCACAAGATATTAAGTTGGAGAAGCCCTAACTGCTGCTCACTGATTTTCTTCTAAGAAATTCATAAATTTTTCAAGCTTATTGCTAGATACCAAGTACTGATAGAGGACTGCTGGCTTAGTGTGCTGGTGAGTAAAATGCATTGCAATTCTGGCACACAGAGCAAAAAGCGTCATCACTGGTTTATACCATTGACAGTTCTTAGTTGTGTAGAGGCTAGAAAATGGAGCTTGTTGCCTTATGTCCTTTACGAGGTATTTCAAAAATGTGCAGGAACCATGCCTTGAAACACCTAATAATCTGAGGCTGTACCTACCCTACCTGTGAGCCAATGTCTGTTATTGTTGGGTAGAAGGACAGAGCTTCCTTCTCTACGTGTTCTTCATGATGTATCTATCTGTCTGTGACTTCCCTGTGCTTCATGCTGTGCTCTTGGCATCAGGTCTTCCTCTGTGTCCCTCTGGCTAATTCTAAAGCACCTTTCTTCTTTGAGCACAAACCAAAATTTACTAAGTGTAAAAAAAATATAAATAATCCCACAAACCAACCAAACAAAAACAAAACAAAAATGAAACTAACCAACAATCAAAAAAATAAGCAAACACCAAAACCAACCGAAAAAACAAACTTCAAAGCAACATAAATCACATGCTTCAGCCTAGGGTAAAGGAGCTCTGGAAAAACTCATTTCATGAAGATCCAATTCATTTCTGCCTCTTGGATGAAGAAGAACTTGATTCTTTTCTAATTCTTAACATCATCATTAAATTATGGTAGAAAGCTTGCAAAGGTTAGGCTTAGTTTTGAGCGTTTGGTGGGATACAACCTGAGCTGCTGCATCTACCACTTTCTTTTGCTCATCAGTTTACTACTTTTGCCAACAGGAATGGCTGCCTACATCAGCCATATTATCCTTTCATATTATCCTGTGCAACAGCAGCGAGCTGTGTGCTGGCTGAGACAGGGCTTCTGGAACTTGACAGGTAGTTTGCTTGTCTTCTGAAACATCATTCTGTTTAATGTCTTTATCGATGATCTGGATGAGGGGATTGAGTGCACCCTCAGTAGTTGTCTGTTTGCAGACAACACCAAGCAAGCGTGAGTGATGATATGCTTGAGGGTAGGAAGATTGGTTTAACCTGGAGAAGAGGAGGCTGAGGGGGGACGTTATTGCTCTCTACAACTACCTGACAGGAGGTTGTAGTGAGGTGGGGTCAGGCTCTTGCACTCCCAAGTAACAAGTGATAGGACAGGAGGAAATGGCCTTAAGTTGCACCAGAGGACGTTTAGATTGGATATTAGAAAAAATTTCTTCACCAAAAGGATTGTCAAGCATTGGAAGAGGTGGCCCAATGAAGTGATGGCATTGTCATTCCTGGAGGTATTTAAAAGACATGTCAATGTGCTGCTTAGAGACATGATTTAGTGGTGAACTTGACATTGCTATGTTGACAGTTGGACTCAGTGATCTTAAGGATCTTTTCCAACCTAAACAATTCACTGATTCTATCAAGCTGATGATCTAGCACTACTGTATTGACTATTGTGCCTAAAAACATTGTGCACCTGTTACATGATCTGTCCTTTTGAAATTATTTAGCCAGAATTGTTTTAAGTATGTCTGTAATTTGTTAACTGTCTGACAGTGCATATGATAAATCATTGTGCAGTAGTCTATTATTATTCTTGGCTCTCAACTTGCTGCAGTAGAATTTGCTGCATATTGTGCATTGAGGAAGCAAAGGCTGGAGGCCTAGATTCAGTGAGTGCAGCATCTGGTCTGCAAGAGCAGATTGCATGGCTTCTTTGAGCTTTGCTTTATACCATAACACTTGAGGGGAAAAAAACGTCCCTTTCATAGCCTTGTTTTCGTTACCTGAACAATCACACTGATTCCAGCTGGTCTGTGAATACTAGGCATTAATCTGAGGATAAATACCCACCTCCCGTATTGTGTTGCACTGTCTAAATGCTCTTGTGCCTCAGTATAGATTTAATGGTTTTCCTCCTCCCCATTCTGAAATCCTTCTGCCCTGTCATTCCTAATGTGCGTAAGTCAGAGCTGCAAGCGACCTCGCAGAAACATACGCAAATGCTCTACAAAGCTAATGCATTTTCTGGCATGAGGGACTCAAGGATGTGTTTTCAATTCTTTTACCCTGGATTTTATTTGTCATGAAAGAAACCAAATGTTTTCTGGAGGGTCATGAAAATTTAAAGTTTATCTTTTTTCTGGTTTTTAATTTGTTTTTGCAAATGCAGTAATATGTTTGGTTGTTAAAAATGATTAAAGGATAGATATGGAATAAAATTTTAAAAGAGGACATCTTTATTTTATCTAGCCAATCTGCAGAAAACTGAGTTCTTTAACATGGGAATTTTCTGTAAACAAAGTACTTGGCATCCCTGTTTCATCGCTTGTCAATACTTTTACTATTACTATGTTTAGTAAACAATGGAGCCTCATCATCCCTTGTGCTGTGAACCCCTAGATTAATGTTTTAGATCTTTCTAGGAACTCTTGCCTACTCAGAGGGCTTTGCCCAGACTGACAGTACTGCCTGCTTGCATTTTAAGTTCTTTTTCCAGTTGGTATGAAGTGACTTTAGCAATGCTCTCTGCTTTCCACCATGATGCAGCCTGAGCTTTGGAAGAACAGGGCAATAAGGTTCTCTCCAAAGATGGAAGTCTGGTTCAAGAAGCACTGGTAGTTTCTCTGTGTCTCTGCCAGGGTCTTTCTGTACATACACTAAGCTAAGCACTGGACACTGCTCTCCTAATTTAATGCTTTTTAAACTTATTTTATTTTATTTTCAAGTGAGTAGGGTTACTTCTCTAAGGGAGACCAGCAGCTCATCTGGCACTCCCTAGAGGGTGGAACAGGGGGATGCTGAGTTTCCCAAGGCCTTGGCTGTCTAGTGGGGGTGAGGGGCCTAGCTGAGACCTTGCCGATTTATGGAGTTCCCTGCAGGTACGGCTCCCATGGACTTAGAGCAGGGGAAGTCATGTGACTCAAGCAAAACTGTATAAGAAACCATGGCAAAGCTCAGCCTGAAATCTGCTCTGTCCTGCACCTTCTTCAGGAACATAACCTGTTCCTGCTCCAGCAGCAAAGGCTGACCCTGGTCACAAGGTGTTTGACAGACCTTTTGATTCTTGGTGGAGAAGAAGGTAAAAGGAGAACGGCAGCAGCTGGAAGGCAGCCAGACAAGACTAACTGCTGCTTTCTGTGAAAACAGATGGCGTCACCAGGCTAAAAGGAAAAATGCTTGTGTAAGTGGCCCTGAGGGAGCTGAAAGACACACACAGAACACTGCTGAAAGGGGCTACCTTTTCTCCAGCCAAGGCATAACACTGACTTCCCTCACTACCACCTTGGCAGATGTCCTTTATCCTCATTTGGTATGTGGGTTGTTGCAGGCATGGACAAACTTGCTCTACGTAGGTAACTTTTCTTAACCAAACAGCATCCCTGAGGCTGCAGCTCCGGACATATCTATAGCATGACAATATCTCTCTTCTGACTGACTTAGAGGGAGCTTACTTCAGGCATTCTCATTCATCATTCTCTTTGAAGCATATAACTCCTCTCAGCTGTAGCAGCAGTTGCTAAGTTCATGTGACGTGAAAAATTGCATCTTCTTGTCTGCATATTCTCCATTTTGAGTCCTGGAAAATTAGAGTAGAGCCATAGCAGACCAAAGGGAAAGTTCTGCAGGAGCAAATGCTAACCCAGGTCCTTGCATTCTGAATGTCTGATATAGACAGAAGCTGCAATGAGCTGAACATTTATGGAGAACTCCAGACAAGTCCCATGGGAACATTTGTCCAAAGAGCTGCATGTTCTTGTTGGGCTGCTTGTGACAGTCCTTGGAGTGGGGGTTGATGCCAGCTAGGTCCCATGCTGACAGTACATGCACAGTGGCAGTTGTGCTAGCCAGTGCCTGTAGCACACAGGGAACAGGGACAGTCTGTGGTTTCCATACCTTTGTGATATGGAAATGTACCATACGTACCATATGCAGCCTTTGTGTTAGCATTTTTCTGGCAACATACAGTGCTTCTGTCTCAGATGCTTGTGATCCCATATGCTGTTCCAGAAGCTAATCTTTCATTGTGGCACAGAAATACATTTAGCTTTTCTGCTCAGGCCAGAAGAGAACAGAGAAATCTGATGGCTAACTATGTAGGAAAAGCTTCCTGTGGCTCAGAAATCCAAAATGTTGAGGTGAATACAAGCCTGATTTAAAGATATAATTGCAGACATCTTGGCTTCCTCTTGAATTTTTGAAGTATGCAGAACGTGGGCCAGAGTTTCCAGAAAGCTGCTGTTGGAGGACTTTCTCCATGATAACCATTGAAGTACCTGTGAATGAGACCTGGAATGGAAACCAGAGAGCAACGATATGTCTTCTGTCATGCTTCAGAGTAGTGTTGCTGCTCACAGTGTTTTTTCCTTCTGCTTCTTTCCTTTGCTCTGTAACCTAAATCACTTTGTCATTGTACTGAAGTGTGGTCTTATAGTTTGACTTTTCTACTGGAGGTGAGAAGATAATTTCTTTTGGTAAGCCTAGGTCAGCACTGGTGCTTGGCAGGCCTTTTGGTGAGCTAATTCAACTCACGAACATGATAGAAACTCCTTTCCTTCGTGCTGAGCTTCGTTTTGGCTTGTATAGAAGCTTGACTTGGCTGAACGTAGGCTTCAGTGAGCCCCAGGGCTCACTCTGTGAGTACACAGAGGTCACCCACATCCTAGAGGTGGGAGTGTATGGCTGGAGCAACAAATAAGGAGTGTCATCCTGTCTCCTTTTGACAAAAATAAATAAAATCTCATGTTTTTTCACCAGCTCTTTCAGACTTTGTGGTGTTTGTAACCATGCATTAACCCTGTTCCTCTTTTCTTGCATCTGGAGATGCATTGCTGCTTTGTTCCACCCTTTTGTTAGGTAACATTGTTTGGGACAGTTGTATTAGACCTATGTTGTCTCTGTATTAATCTGCTCTCAACTGCTGCTGTGATTTGATGATTTCATAGTTCCTGAACATAACAGAATACCCAGACCTTACAATAAGTACTTTGCTCTTCCGCCTGCCCAGGCTTTCCAGGCACCTGCCATCGCTTCATGTTACCCTATTCCTGAGCTGAAAGGAATGAATGGCAGGAGACTGTGGCCCCCAGCAAATCACTGACAGACATTTGATCTGTTCTGGTGCTAAGAAATGCACACTGCTGACAACCTAATCCATGGCACATTATTTTTGACAAATCTTCAGGAAGCCAGCATTTTTGCCCACATATTACAACTAATGCCCTTCAGTTTCATGAAGATTCTGTTGAATTTTCTGACTAGACCCTGGGATTCCTAGTAGGTATGACTTTCTGTCACTCCTGTGTGACTGTCACTCCTGTGTGACTTTCTACACAGTTATGTTTATTGGCAGCTCTGATATTTACGGTCAGTATTTCCTTAGGTTCAATTTGTGTTACTACAAGCTTAGTCTTCTATAAGCGCATTCAGTTTTAATCACCTCCCAAATACATCTGTGTAAATCATACAGTCCATCTCCCCTTCTTTTGCTCTGTGCCTGGTATTATTGGGAAATTTCTGTGAATACAAATAGTGAATACAAATAGTTGTGTCTCTGCCTCCATGCTGGCCAGCATGGAGCTGTTATGAGGACTGTGTAAAACCACAATGGTGCAGCCACTGTACTTGCACTAGGGCATCCTGCCCCTCAGCACACAAGCTCATGTCTGGCCACACCAGCACATGTGGCCATGACCCAAGAGATCCAACGTGCACAGCTCCTGGGGTCTGCAGAAGAGTCCATGTTACCACTGGTTAGCATGCCATGCCTGGTCACTTCAGAGAGCTGGGTTACGACTGGTGCCCTTTTTGTGTTCCTTTTTGTAATTAAGTTTATTCTTATTACCTCCCCAATTTTACAGGAAAAATCAGTATGCCTAGTGCTGAAGGATAAGTTTTATGCATTTGAAGCATCCATTCGGTCATCAATGCTAACATTTATTTGCCCAGAGCCTAATAAAATTGGTGAAACAGCTTGTGAACAAATAGGTAGCCAGGAGGCTAAGCTGGTATATGGTGAGGACATGGATTCTCTGTGATGTATTTCTTCACTTTAGGAACTTCAGTGAAGTTATATAACTTGTTTTGTAGCCTAGAACGAGATCTTTGCCTCTGGTCAGAGGAAGAACTTACTGAAATGGTTGGAGCAACTAGGAATAAGGAACTTCCTTAGGGCTTTCAGAGGCAGGTAGTCTTATTTTGTGTTGCTTGAGGTGGAAATAATGAACTTGCTGCAACCATCAGCTCTTTTAAGTGTTTGCAAAACCATTACATTGTGACTCAACAAAAAATTTTGTACACTGATTATATTTTGTGGCAGAGTGTGAAAACATTTCCTAAGGCCCATATACCTTTAATGGATTGCCCTTTTTGTTACACTAAACTGAAAGAGGGTGTGTGAGAAGAATATCCAGCTCTCAGCTCCACAAATGCAGGCTTCATTAGCTCCTGTGACTTCCAGCAAAATTACTGGCATGCCAGATTAATATCCAGCACAACTGTAGGTCTGGCTTGATGTCAGCACTTACTAATATACATGTGATACTTGCTTTAATTCTTTTTTTATTGCAGAAAATATATCGAGTGGCCCATTTGTTTCTTGGCCAAATATGTCCATAGGTCTAGTGAGCTTTAGCTACAGTCTGTGACTTTCAGGAAAAATATTATAAGGTATGCTTTAGTTATATGCTGGAAAATTACAGGTCATAGGTTTTTTTTAAATAATATTCTATGTTATAGAAGGTACTACGTGCAGAAATAGATATACACTGTTGTTTTCTCTTTATTCTTACTATTAGTCTTTTGAAAGAGTTTTAGTAGAGAACAAGCTGCATGGCCTTTCTCCAGCTCTCTCTGAAGCCATCCAGAGCATTTCTCGCTGGGAACTTGTCCAAGCTGCACTCCCTCATGTGCTGCACTGCACCGCAACGCTGCTCTCCAACCGAAACAAGCTAGGTTAGTGCTCGTGTGAGTTTGTTTTTCCGTTTCTGAAGTTATCAACCAAAATATGCCAGACTGATTCTAAATCCTAGAATCCCAGTAAGTTCATTTTTTGGATTGCCTTTCTTGATCTGTTCTCATTTATAGCATGGTAACCTGTGAGAACTTCTCCAGTGAAGTTAATGGTCTGATGAACTGAAGAATCAAAGCAGTTCAATAATAGTTTGCTAATTGTTTTCCAGAGATAATAGAACTAGTTTTAGCAAAAGCCTTACCACCCAGTGGGCATGGGTTCCTTGAAGGAACACATATTTCTTTCAAGGCATGCTGCAGTGGCCAATTGCAGCAGGTACTTTTAATATCTTCATTTATTATTATTTTTTCTTCTTTTTATTTAGACCAATGCATGTAATTCTCAGCAGATAAGTTCATCAGTCAATGGCTAGGGCCAGATCCAAATCTAGCTTACTTTACTAGTCTTTTACTGATTTCAACAATGTTTTCAGCAAGAATTTGCTTCAAAGACATGCCAGTAGAGAACATTAACGGGACACAGCTTGAGTACCTCGCAGTGTTCACTTGTGTTTTGTCTGTTTCAATAGAGTCAAACAGACAAGACTGCGGAGGTGGCATCTCTTAGGACCACTCTATGTCAATGCATTCACTTGCCCTGTAAATGACATTGCAGGGACTGAACTGCAAATGCTGTGAAGTAAATGGAGACTTGTGAATTAGGAGGTTTCAAACATAATGAAACAGAAAGTTGGTATTTCTAATGGTAGATTTTTAATTTTCAAATGTTTATCAGGAATTTGGATGACCGGTTTTCCTCTGTGGCTCTGAAAGTTTCAACAATACCATTAATGGAAACCCTATGAGATATTGTGATGCATTTTTCCATCCAGGACATCAGGATAAGCTTGGAGTAGCTGAAACAAAGCTTCTTCACACTCTTCACTGGATGCTCCTGGAGGCCCCTCAGGACTGCAGCAATGACCGATTTGGAGGAGACAGAGGCTCTAGTTGGGGAGGGAGCAGTAGCGCCTTTATCCACCAGGCTGAAAACCAAGGATCTCCAGGACATCCCCAGCCCAGTGCCACAAATGATGAGGAAGAGAATAACAGGAGGAAGTTCTTCCAGAACTCCATGGCCACAGTGGAGCTCTTTGTGTTCCTTTTTGCTCCCCTTGTCCACAGGATTAAAGTAAGTGGAACACTCACAGGATACTTGTTTGGAGAAAACTCTGAGCAGGAAAAGAATGATTTTGTCTTTGTGCTTATTATTTAATTCAGCCTACAGTGCTCACTGGGTGACAACTGGAAGTGTTTTAACAAGATGCCAAGATATCACTGCCATCAGGAAGAAATACTTCCAATGACATGAACAATCACCACAGCATCAGACAGAAACAAAGGCAAATAAATTTGAAGGGAGCCATTTTCAGCTCTCAGGAATGTCAAAGATTGGTGGCCCTTGTGAAGTCTTTGGCATCTTGGAATCTGCAGAAAGGATTGTGAGCTTTACCTTGCCCCAGTGATTCTCAGGCATTGCTCAGAAGGGCCTTGCTAGCTTTTCAGGGATTCCACCATGGGGCTGCCAGTGGGATTTGTTGTTGTCACTACTAATCATCTTGATGCTAATTACCAAGAATGTGTGATGGTGGTATAAGCACAGCAGTGGCAAAGGCAATTGAGCATTCCTTTGTTCTGAAGTTGGAAGCAGGCTGCAGGCTTCTGTCTGCCAGGGTCCCTCTGTTGGTTTTATGAGTGCGTCAGCTTTGCAGAACGGTGTAGTGAGGAAACATTTTCTGCATGCTCTGACTCCTGCCTCTCATCTTCAGTCTTTCTGAAGGACTGCAATTTAGCCAGCTAGGTCTCAGGAGGGAAACTAGCTCTGGAGAGCAGGTGCTTCAAAAAGGTCTATAAAATCATGATGAAGGCTGTTATTTGTTCTAAAGGATTAGAATATGTAATAGAAGAGCCTTGTATGCTGCAACAGTTGAAGATAAGAAAGTACAAGAGATAAAGGATAATCTTTGGTAAAGGCAGGGGAAAGCAGGGCTGGAGAGCTAAATTCTTTCCCTACTTCTACTGAGTTCCTGTACAGTATTGGTCAATTTATTTACCCCAGTTTTTTTGTACATGTTTAGTGGTTTCACATTTTCTCCATAAACTACTCAGACGCGACAGTAAGAAATGCTGAATTCTTCCTAATGCTGCAGACACAAATGTGAGCTGCCCTTTGAGTAAATGAAATGAAACTGGAGGTAGACCCTGGCTATTAGAGATTTGGTTTAAATTTTTTTATATTGATCTTCCTGGCATGTAGTTTCCAAGGAGTTAATAACAGTATCTTAGCTTTACCTTGAAAATTTCTGAGATCTCTGAGATACTGTAGTGATGGAAAGAAAACACGCATGTTTCTGTCATCAAACCAAAGCTCAAAAAAGGTGAAGTAAATGAGGCATGTAACTGACTCACTAAGCATTGTCCCCTCCGTGTTTCACAGAGGTAGAGGTCTCAGGGGAAGAACGCTATCTGATCAGTTAACCAACGTAATGCATGTGCTCAAGGAAGATGATACGTGTTTGCACAGGCAGACCTAAATGACTGAATTCCTAACTTTGGAGAGGATTTGTTTATTTAGCAATGTGTTTTTAAATAAGGCTTTGGGGTGTTGAGTGGGATGCATGTAATCCTGTAACTTAACAACTGTAGATAATGTTGGCATGCCACCAAAAGCTAGCAGTGCAAAGTAAAAATGCAACACATGTTGCTGCTACCACTTCCAAAAGCCTTGCAAGGTGCTCCTTAGTAAAAACAGTAGTTAAAAACAAGCTTAGTTTATAACAAGGCTTGTGAGCTCAATATGACAAGTTGATACTAAAAAAGAGTAGGGAATAGAAGTGCTGGAGGGCTACAAGCAGTCAGCTCTTGCCATTCCTTTAGCTGTCTGCATCATTGATTTCCACCACTGAGGCATGTGGAGCTATGTCAACAGGAGATGGTGGTGCAGCTGTAACTATGCTGCCAGAACTGCTATTACCATGTTTGTTTACTTTATGGGGATAGCTGGACTGTATCAACATCAGTGCCTCTTAATGTAGATGTGACCTTAGATCAAGTGAGTGCACACCTGCACCTTCATCCTGCAGAGATTTACTTGGGCACTACTTTACATGATTTCAGCTACTTGCATGTGTAAAAAAATGATGGCACAAGTGTAAGTAGTATCAAGGACTGCATTAATATAGCTCAGGTACTAACAGAGCTATTAATGGTAACGTTATTGTATACTGCTATTTCATAATAATTTGTTACATTTCATGTTTTCTCAGTTTCTAAGTTAATGGTTTAATATGAAGTATTCGTATACTTTTAGGGAAAGAAGTTCAAGTTTTGTAGTTTAAATCATAAGGTTGAGATTGAATATTAAATATGAAGTGTTTATATATGATCAGATTCTTACTGACACAGGATTAACTAGTACAGAAATTTCACTTGGAAAAAACATCTTATATATTTTTCTATTGAAATTTCCCTATTATTTTTAGTAGCTGTTCTTGAAATGTATTAAGGTCTGCTGAGTAGTGTCAGTGGCTCTTGAGTTAGCATATACTTACCACAGAACTGCACATGGTATCACTCATTTCTTGTAAGAGCTGTGAATCAGAGAAATAACAACATTTTAAGACTAGAAACAACTTTCTTTTGTGTAAACTTGTGTGATACAACCTCTCTTTGTCTTCCTAGGAGTCTGACCTGACATTTCGGTTGGCGAGTGGCCTTGTTATTTGGCAGCCTATGTGGGAACACAGGCAGCCTGAAGTTTCTGCCTTCAACACTCTTGTAAAACCAATCAGGAATATCGTTACAGGTCTGTGACTTTGCTGTGGTACTGTATCTCCTGAGAGCTGGGAAACCTTTCCTTTGTTTGCCTAATGCTGCCTTATGTTCTGTAGCCATCATGTTTGAAGGAATATGTTAATCCTGCAGGAGCTAGTCAAAACTTTGAGAGTAGTTTAATGTTGTTCCCCTTCAGAGTCAACTGACATTTACATCATAATTAAATATGAGATGAGAGAGCAATCACAAATTGGAAGTGAGGAGCTCTTCAGTAGGCTTATAATTTCCTGTCGGCCTCATATCTCTGCTTCACCATATCTTCCTTAGTTGCTAAGAAGGGTAAAGGCAGTATCCAGCAGCAGCCTGTCACAGGCAGGGAAGGCTATCCCAGTCTGGCACTGAACACAAATTAACAGTGAAGAGCACACAGTTGGCAGTGTAGTGTCTCCTATCTAAAATTTGAATTTCACCATGTTATGAAATTAAATAAAGCGGTTTCAAAAGGATCCAAGGAAGGCTCAGGTTGTGAATTTGCTTCTGCATACTAGAAGAGGTTGCTCCTCCTTTGTACTTCAGTCATAATGGGACAGGAGTTGGATGCTTAGGCTTCCAAACCTTATATCTGTCCTAGTTCTAAACAAATGTTTTTACTTTTATGTTTTTAGATGATAGTTTTGCATAATTTTTACAAGGTAGTGAGTTGAAAGTTTGCTGGGTATATCACTGTAGCATTGTTTGCTTTTTATCAAAAGCACAGAACTGTAATTTTCCCAGTAGTGAAAAAGTAGTTTGCTAAATCAGATTTTTATAATGACGAGTTTATAATGACGAGTTGTTTTGGATGCCATATTTTGTTCTGAAGGCTTTGTAAACCTCTGGGACAGTCCAGAACTGAAAAAATTTAGATATTCCAAATTATTTAAAGCCATCTGTGACATCCAGCTCTTCCTCCCTCTGCTTCAAGTTCTTGAATTAAAAAGTAGGATTTCAGCCCTGGAACTAACAAAAGGAACTAGTCCTAAGTTTTCTTTGAGTGTTGGAACTCAAAGAGTGTTGGAACTCAGAGATTTTTTGTACACAATGTTGTTGACAAGTCTGCAGCAAAAAGATGTTGCTTTGGGTTTGGTTTTGCTTTCTGGTTTATCCTTTCAGTGGTACGTTTTAATATGAGAGGTGATCCCTGAAATGTTCTCCTTTGACTTCTTTTCTCAGCTAAGAGAAGTTCTCCTACCAACAATCAGAGAGTAACTTGTGAATCTCCTAATCTGGACAGTGGACATACTGAGGTAAATTCTGTCCTAAGATTAGACAAACATGAATAAGGACCTGAGGGAGGAGGGAGATTACTATTGAAACAGCACTTGCAGTTACCATCCTAAAGTATTCTATCTCCAGCAATTACATTTCTTCACAGTTCTTCTGAAGGCTCCTGTCCTCGTATGCAGTGGATTCAAAGGGCATTGCCTATAGTTGTCAGGATCTCCTTGTCCTTATCGTGTCTTATAAGATGGAAGCCTGATCTTATGTATTTTCTTGGAGCAAGACCTCTGTCTTACCCTTTGCCTGTACAATGGCTAGTACTGAGAAGCTCCAGGCTTGATCACTTTCTTTGTGGTATTACCACGGTATTATGGTATAAGTAATAGCCATGTCTAAACACAAACTGCAGTAAGAAAACTAATATGGACGAGATAAATATGTTTATATACTTATTTTCTTTTATTAAAACTATCCAAAGGGACTACAGGTGGTCTGTGAGACAACGCAGCCAGATTCTGTACCTCCAAAGGCCACTGTTTCGGCATGCCATCGTGGAAATTCCTTGGATGGAAGCATGTCCTCCCAAACCTCTCAGGAGAGAGGTACCGCACGTCCCAGGTACAAACCCTTTCAGCAGAAAGTTAAGCTTGTGTTAGTCAATGGTGGAGGTCACAGAAATCCATTATCTTGTATCAGCTGTTGTCAGTACACATCAAGTGTTCTGGATGTTTATCTCAAACAGTTCAATGAATCTCAGTTCTGGGTGATGAACAAGGTGGACACTTGATATTCAATGCCACTTTCGCTGGAGAAGTCTCTAACTGGCCTGTTGGGACAGTTGTTTTCTGATGTGTTGGTTTCTTAGAATTAAGGACGCTAACAAATAACCTGCAGGTTGAATGCTCCATAGCTGGATTCAGCCTCAGGCAACTAATACTGTTTCTGTTTTCCTTCTGATCAAATTTCCTTGCCCTTTAGGAAAGCATTTTTGCAAGCTTCTCTCCATTGCTTTCATTATGTCTTTTCTGCATCCTGCTGCTTAGCTTGCTTTAGGCTACAGGCCCAAAGGAACAGACTAACAAAGAAGCACAGCCACACATTCTCCCAGCTTGCCCTGTGGAGGTCAGGCCATGATTTTCTGGCATGGTGCTGACAAATTAACTTCTTTAAATCTAGATTTGGGCAGGTAAAGAAAGAACCAGATTTTCAGTAGTGCTGGCTGCTCAGTAGTGCCGAAAATCTGTTGCGGGTTAGGGCTAGGCTGGCCACTAAATGAAGGTGATATATGTTTTCAGGAGGTGGAGAGGGAGGGAAGCCTAACTATATTGTTAAGGTCTTGATGCATTTAGGAATGTCACTTAAACTCCTCCTGAAAATTTTGGTCGTGTTGCTTATCTCTTTTGGAAAATGTCATATCCAAAACACTGCAGGGTTTTAAGAAATTGCTTCATTACAGTGACAGAAGAAATGTGGGATGGAGTGGGTTTCTGGATATAATCTAGGAATGGCTCTGATTTCTCAAAAAGGGGTTTGGTGCACCCTGTCACTGGTGGAAAGGGCAATGCTATTCTCCAAGTCTCTGATCCCATCAGGAGGATTCCCTTTGGATTTTGTATCGAGCCTGCTGCCAGTTCTGTGCCTTTATTTAATTTGCATTAATGTGAGCCAGTAAAACTGAAGTTGGGGACAGAAGTGCCATTCTGTGTGTGAACACTACTGCTCAGAGTGCACAGCTGTAAAATATAAGCAGCCTTTTAAGAAGACAGAATCAGGTGATCAATTTGTCAAGCTGGGTCTGGTGGTTGCTATGGGGATGAAGCTTCAGACAGGCTTTGAAGATAGCATTATTATGCTTCCTTATTTGCAGGACTCATTGATCAGTTAAAACTGTACAGGGAGCTTTGGTTGCCAAGCAACAGACAACTGGGGAACAAATGTTGTTTACTTACCAACAGCCGCAGTATTCCTTTGTCCTTGGACGGGGGTTGAAAGAAGGCTGCCTTTCCACTCTCCCTGCAGTCACAGGCAACCAAGAACTGATTATATGAACACTAGATTTCCCTCTAAATGAAGTACAGAGTTTAATTTCTGATTCCTCAGACACTTCTTGAGCAAATGGCTTGTTCCTCTCGTCCTGGCTAATTATCCCTGCTCCACTCAATGTAATTCTCCATTTACAGATGATATAGCTTAACGCTGAAGCAAATAAAGCCACAGCCCTTTAGCCAGCCTGCTGCCTTGAATACACTGCCTGGGAAATAGACTTTGCAGGAAGGACTTTAGTGACAAATATTTCATAAGTAGAACATGCCTCGCTCCAGGCTCTGTTGTGCCTCAGGTTTGCCTATGCGGCATACAGAGGAGTATCAAACACTCTTTAGACTCACACACTGATCTGGATCCTGCAAAGTGACCAGGTAGCCATGCATCATCCTTTACAACTGCTGCTGAGTCGATAGGCTTTATTTCCTTTGCTGGGATGTTTTGAACATCCTAGCTATTCTCATGTGTTTTTTACAGGCTGCATCTACGTGATACAATCTTGACTGTGATAAAAACAGTCTTCACATCAGATTTATGGGGAAAACTTTATAGCATATTTCCATTTATCATTGTTTTCTCCTTCCTAATTCAGGTTTTTGTAACAGCTCATTTTTAAGTCATCAAACGTGTAACATTTTTACCTGGAATACAGCACCAGTGGATAAGCTTTCAATCTATAGATTGCATACAGTGACATATGTTGACACAGACGGGCTGGTCTGCTGTTGCCAAGTGCCTTCAACGTTGCCCTGTGGGGCTGGCAGCAAATAAGCTCCTGCAGATTTGAGTTCTAGTTGTGTACAATGCTCCAAGCCCAGTCTTGCCACCTGCTCCCCCTTTCCAGGCGTGTAATGTGGAGCAGGGTTCACATGATTCCAAATGATGTCAGTGTTCACTGCACACTTCTTTCTCCTTTGCCAGCCCTGTATCTACCTTGGATGCAGAGGACAGCTTTGTGGCACTGGGCAGTGATCCAGAAAATCCACTTCAAGCATGTGCTTCACTTTACACACTTAGAGGTTCCACTGGTCAGTATTGCCACTTGTTCCCTAATGCTTTGCTGGACTGTGGCCTTGGACACCTCTGTTCAGAATTTGGTGGTACCCAGCTGGAGATGGGATGTCCTGCCAATGCTATTTGCATGTTGTTTAGCAGAGCTGGTCATATAAATGGGTTTTAAAAAAACTCAGATACCTTGTGATGATTCCCAAATGCCCAAGAATAAAATTCATGGAAGTGCTGTTGATTTTTATAGAATCTCAAAATCACAGAGGTACTCAGTTCACAGAGGTGTGTTTCTAACACACTGAGTGGAACCACTTGAATTGTGTACTTTGGCAGGGGGAAAAAAAAAAAAACAACACATCTCCAGAGTTCCCATCCCCAGCATTTCACACCTTCTTTTGCCATGTGATTCTCATTCCCCTGACTCCCTTTCAGTGCTTCTTTTCTGACAGATTGTATCCTTAAACCTAGTGACTGTAGAGAGGGTAGATCAGGCCAGTGCTCTGCTGGGAAACAAGTAGCATAAAAATGAATAATGAAAAACTTGGGGCCTTTTATTGCAGTAATATTGGCTCTAAAAACAGATATGATACTTTTGAAATGTGAAATCTCTGGAGTCTCATTTCTGAGGCTTACTATGATACCTTGCTTTTGCATGCACTAACTTGTACGATACTTAGGAAATTTTGTACCCATCAGGAAAACACACTACCTGAAAGACAGGAAAAGGATAATAAAGGCTAAAAATGGTGTCTCTGACAGTAACTTGTATAAGAATTGGTTTAATTGGCTTAAAGGGTTAACTAACTTAGCTGCCCTCACTGCTTCCTCTTAAGTCCTGATGTGTACAAATGTGAACCATTCCTAAATATCTATTACTAGTATCTGAACAAAAGATGCTCAAGGGTTGTCTTTTTCCAGCTGAACAAATTACTCGGTGCCGATGCTGGCGGCTTATCTTCAGACTACAATTTAAGAATGCAACCCCATCCAAGAAAACACTTAACAAAGCATGTACTTGAGTCCTCTAGGGAGCTGAAAGCTAAATATACACCTACATGTTTTCCGTAATCCTGTCCTCAGTCAAGGCCTTAGTCCCAAAGAGTCAGTTTCAAATGTCCCTGCAAGCTCAGGCAGGTACAGCTCTGAGCACATCCTGGTGATTTCTGCACATGGCAGGAGAATGAGAATTGCTAACAGCTCTTGATGAATGGCTAAATTTTAGGCCTCTTAGTAGAGCTCTTGGGTCTTTTGGGTTGATCCAGCATGTATGCTAGGACAGAACCTGTTTCCAACTAATATGTAATACGGAGCAGGGTTTACATGATTCCAAATGGTGTCAGTGTTCACTGCACACTTCTTTCTCCTTTGCCAGCCCTGTATCTACCTTGGATGCAGAGGACAGCTTTGTGGCACTGGGCAGCGATCCAGAAAATTTTGTGGTATCAAGAATGACCCCTTAAGAACAGTCAAACATACCAGCCCAACAGATCATCATTGAGTGGTTCTTTATTCAGAGAACTGAGTGTCTAAGAAGGGCTAAGGAGCCTCACAACTAACATTTCTACTTCTGCTTTTTGGAACAGGGTGTCCTTGGTGATCCCGCCATGCCAGAAGTCTCGCTATGCCACATACTTTGATGTGGCAGTGCTGCGCTGCCTGCTGCAGCCACATTGGTCTGAGGAGGGCACACAGTGGTCACTCATGTACTACCTGCAGAGGCTGAGGCATATGCTACAGGAAAAGCCAGAGAAGCCACCTGAGCCAGAAATCACTCCTTTACCAAGACCTCGCAGCAGCTCAATGGTGGCTGCTGCACCCTCTCTGGTGAATACCCACAAAACTCAGGTAAGCAGTTGCTGTCAGTAAGAAAATAGCAACTGTTGTGGTGATGCTGGCAAGGGATGACTGGACAACTAGTGAAAAGCACAGCTTTGGTGCTGGTTAACTGCCCAGAGGTCAGATACGTGCATCGCTTCAGAAGGAGATCCTCAGAATGATGAGGGTTTTGAAGGCAGAGTCTGGTGCTGGTGACTGCTGAAAGCTTGAGGGTTAATTTGGAATAATTAGTCTAAGGTGAACTGTGATAACATTGGGTTTTAATATGAGAATATACTAATGTATTTGTCAGACCGCCTTTGTGTTACAGTGTAATACTTAGGACACACTGATCTTCTTTGATGTAACCCCTCAAATAGGAGAAAAGGAACTTGTTACAGTGCTGCACACTCCAGGCAAACACTTGGGTTGAAATACTGTGGCAGACTTTACAAACAGTGGCAGTGAGCAAAAGTTCTTCATTTTGTTACCTCTTTACCTGCTGTTATTGTATAACGTTTACCTTTACATTTGCCAACAAAACCTCAGGAGACAAACTGACCTAAAAGGTGTCAATACTTGCTCCCTGTTTTGCTGGAAAAAGAACCCCAGGCTCCCGACCTTGGTGTAGTAAAGATCTTTGTGTTAGAGCTTAAATGTTTTTCTTTTGGGGTAGCTCACTCTTGTTCCAGGGATAAAAAGTGAATGCTACTGCAGTGTCAGTTAATCTTCTTGTTGATTTGTGCTACTTTTAGGTTGTACACTCTTCTCCTGTCGTGGGCTTTTAACAGCAAATTCTGATTTACTGAGTTGATAGAGCTGCTGAAGAAAATTTAATAGATTCTATTTTTGCAGTCCAATTTTATGTCATACCTAAAGTAAAAGGCTCTATCTTCTGTTAATGTTGCTGTCAAATGTCTTTTCTGAGTCAGAACTCTCTGAATTTTTGATTTTTTTTTGTCAAAATCCTTGCTTTCAGTATTGTAGAGTTGTAACAGCTTTTGACTTGTCATTTTACAACAGAGGGCGAAAAAGCTTTTCTCCTGTACTGTTCATAAGCCAGAAGACAAGCATAAACAATGTAAATATTAGTATTATTATTTTTAAACCTCAGGATTTTATAGCCATTCTTAGGATTTTTATGAGGGCTGGTGGTTACTCGTGGTTTTAAGGGCTCAGCATCATCAATATTGTTTAAACTATATTATGCTTTAGTATCGTTTCTGTAAAATGTTGCTTCTTCCACCCCTGTAAAAGCTTGACATATCTCCATAAAGGCCAGGTGAATTACTATTCAGTCTTAATCTACCTTTGCATGGGGATTTGGCAGGATTGCTGTGCCTGTCCAGAAAATCCTCCTTAATATTATCTCCTGGAGGGAGAATTGGAAGATATTGCTGTTGATGTGATTCACAGTTTCCATGCACATACTGTTTCTTTGCCCTTGCTCATAACAGCACGGTTATTCTGCACATTAGCAAGTTTAGCTGCTGATGCAACAGGGAGTGCAGTCAGTGATTCTCAGCACAGTGGCAGCATGACTGGGGCTGTCTTCCACAGGCACTGGTAGCACTGATATTGTGCTCGTTCTTCTCTATGTACTCTGAAAGACTTCGCTCTTTTCACACACTTGGCTACATTTTGCTTTTCCAGGCTGTTTCTCTTGCAGAAGATTCCTTTACTCAGTTGCTCTTCACTAACATTTTTCTGTTAAATCCATTTGGCAATTCCACTGGGTACTTTCTAGCTGTTAATGTGAGAACTCTGTCCAGGGCATTCTTCCCCCTGTGGCTGTGTTTGATTGCTTTTGGTAACCTCTGTGTCAGTCCTGTATATTTTTACTGTACTTCATCAAATTGGAATCCATTTAAAAAGGTTTCCAATTTGTTATGCAGAACAGCTGTGATGGAGAAGGTGAAACGGTTTTCCATGCAGCAGAACTTTCAGCTCCTGCCCTCCTTTTCTACCACTCTGAGGACTGAAATCTGTGCAGTGCAGAGAGACACCTAGGCTCTGTTTCATCCCAGCCAACTGTGAGGACTTAACTGCTGTTCTTAAATTTAGAGTATCATCACTCAAGACTCTCTGCTAGTCAGAGGAGAGCATGGCACCTCCAGAGGGCTACGACTTGTCATTTATTTCTCTCAACACAAGGGGTTTATATTGAGACTCCACAAGCTCATCTGACACAGCGATATGCTTAAAGCCTTCTTTTTTGGTCTAAATCTTAAATTCCTAACACAATGTCATCATTTCTTCTCAAAGGTTGATCAAGAATTTCCCCAAAATATTGCTACTCTGTGTTTTAGCAGGATAGATTTAAAGTGGCAGGCAAAACTGATTAAAGACAAAACCAGCTGCCTGCAAATCACATCAGGGATTCGTAGATTTCTCTGGTAAATCCACATTCTTTCTATTGTTCTGCAGTTTATCAGGGTAACTTCCTGCATCTCCCTAAACCTCAGCAAAGCTCTCATACTTCTTGTTGTTTTCTGTATGCTTGAAATCACATTTCAGAGATAAGCCTGGGCTAAAGCAGTTGGAATCGGGAGAATGTGAGAAACGTCCTCCATGTATTGCCTTGTAAACCGAGCAGTAAAGTGGAAAAAGATTCAGTGCAGCATGCTAGCACTCCTTGTAGCACAGGAAAAGGGGTACTGGATGGAGTGTGAATAAAATTAATACTAGCTTCTTCTAGAAAGTGACTTTAGTCTAAACACATTTCCGACCTGGCAATATGTGACAACCTGCATTGTACTTGTACGCAGTGAATTTAATGTAAGGACAGGTCTAGGAAATGAAACCTTCAGAGGCTCACAAACCTCTACAGTCTGGCACTAACATTGCAGGGACAAAGAGCCAAAGCTTAAATTACGCAGCTGTAGTGCTCGCTGCAATGCTAATGTCACAGAATCACAGAATGTCAGGAGTTGGAAGGGACCTCTTGAGATCATCTAGTCCAATCCCACTTCCAGAGCAGGATCCCCTAGGGCAGCCACACAGGAACGCATCCAGATAGATTTTGAAAGTCTTCAGAGGACGAGACTTCACAACCTCTCCAGGTAGCCTGTTCCAGTGCTCTGTTACCCTCACAGTAAAGAAGCTTCTCCTCATGTTGAGGTGGAACTTTCTTGTGTTCTAGCTTATACCCATTATTCCTTGTCCTATTACTGGGCACCACTGTGAAAAGACTGGCCCCTTCTTCTTGACACCCACTCCTCAGATATTTATATACATTAATAAGGTCCCCTCTCAGCCTTCTTTTTTCCAAGACTAAACAGCCCCAGTTCTCTCAGTCTATCTTCACAGGAGAGATGTTCAAGTCCCTTAATCATCCTTACGGCTCTCCATTGGACTCTCTCCAGTAGATCCCTGTCTCTCTTGAATTGGGGAGCCCAAAACCGGACACAATATTCCAGGTGTGGTCTCACCAGGGCAGAGTAGAGGGGGAGGAGAACTTCCCTAGACCTGCTGGACACATTTTACTTAATGCACCCCAGGATCCTGTTGGTCCTCTTGACCACAGGGGCACTTTGCTGTCCCATGGATAACTTAGTGTCCACTAGGACTACAAGGTCTTCCTCCATGAGGCTGCTTTCCAGCAGGACATCCCCTAATCTGTACTGGTGCCTGGTGTTATTCCTCCCCAGATGCAGGACTCTACACTTGTCCTTATTGAACTTCATGAGGTTCACCTTCACCCAGCTCTCCAGCCTGTCCAGATCTCATTGGATAGCAGCACAGCCTTCTGTCAGCCATCCCCTCACAGTTTTTTATCATCAGTGAATTTGCTGAGGGTGCACTCTATTCCCTCATCCAGGTTGTTGATGAAGATATTGAACAAAACTGGACCCAGTACTGATCCCTGAGGAATGGGAACACCACAGGTCACAGGCCTCCAACTTGACTCTGTGCCTCTGATCACAACCCTCTGAACTCTGTTGTTGAGCCAGTTATATCAATCCACCTCACAGTCCAATCATCTATCCCACATTTCTTGAGTTTACCTACGAGGATGTTATGGGAGACAGCCTTAGGTATATGACATCCACTGCTCTCCCTTCATCTACTCACTTGGTCACACTTTCATAGAAGGACATCAGAGTAGTCAGGCCAGATTTCCCCTCAGTAAATCCATATTGGCTACTCCTGATAACTTTCTTTTCTTCCATTTGGTTAGAGATGGCTTTCAGAATGAGTTGCTCCATCACTTTTCCGGGGATGGAGGTGAGTCTGACTGGTCCGTAGTTTCCTGGGTCCTCTTTCTTGCCTTTTTTGAAGGCTGTAGTGACATTGGCTTTCTTCCAGTCCTCAGGTACCTCTCCCATCCTCCATGATTTTTCAGTCCTTACTCTGTCCTTTTGGTGACTGTAAGCCACCTCATAAGACACTGATTTGATAATGAACAAAGATAAATCTGAAATAAATTGATATGATGTTTTCCAGTCAGAAGAGGCCAGAGAGCTGTAAAACCTAAGAACCAAGTCATACGTGGGCCTCACTGCTGAGAAACACCTGTGGTTGAATCCTGATTTGCTATCTGTTAGATTTTAGGTATGGCTCCTCCTCTGAATCTTTAGTCATATACACAAAATGGTTTAAAAACATCCCTTGACTGTAGACAACAGTGAAGAATCATCCTTCTGTAGTGTATCTGTTTCATTCTCGTGTGCATAAAATTAATGGGAAGGATTCAAGGGTGGTCTGAAAAGTCTCTGAAGAATGTGTGGCCCCTAGTAGCCCAGTACTGCAAACACTGTAACTGGTGCTTAAGGGCTTCAGCTGCAAAGACTGTCACCGACCTCTGCTGGACCTTCATATGCATAAATCTCTGATGCCTGTGTATTGCAGAGCTGGCTACCTCTGCAATATGCAGTCTGCCTAGGCAGAATCTAAACCAATACCATAGAAGTTGCTTCATCTATTGTTGCCATATGGCTGTCTCTGGATTGAAAGCAGAAAGGTATTTTAACATGACCTGGTTGTTTAGCGGAACATTTCTGGTGGGGGAGCAAGGAAGAAGAACATCTCCATTGGAAAAAAGCTGATATTTAGGCAGAAGAAAATTATCCTGAGGGAGTTTGATCAGGTCAGCTGCACAAATATCTCATGAAAAGTGGTATCAGATCTTTAATGAGAACAGATGGCCAGGAGCTGAACTTAAGCCACCTTCTGTAGCAAAACCTTTCTTTACAAGAGGTAGCTGTAATGTATTTTGCTCAGTGCAGACGGGGAGTAGACTGCCCTCTACTGAAACGACAGTGAGTTAGTTTCAAGGTTTTCATTGTCATTAGATACTCTGTGCTATAGGGGCGTTCACAAATATGAGCTATGATGAGACCTATGATGGGCAGACCTTGGAGCACTGTTATTACAAGTAAAGGATGCTTACTGATGTAGAAGTCTGAGGTTTCTTTCCTGAATAAATAATTTGATTTTTTATAAGTCAAGTCTCTTGAAGGGACAGTGCAGTTTATTGCAGTTCAGTTCCAAAATGCGTGTTTAAAGGCATATGTTAGTATGAACATATTCTCTTAGATTATAAATAAAACGCTTCAAAAAAAGTAGCTCATAAATGTAAACCAAAGCCTCAAGATCGTCAGCTACCCAGAGTCATACCTGGGATCAGAATCAGAGTAGAGTAGATGTCATGCCACTAGACCACACTGACAATGATGCCTGAGGGTTTCTGTTGCAGCACGACATGCTGTACATTTTTTCTGTTAGATAAGGTCAATAATTTTGGGAGTTTCTCAATTTTGTTTCTTGTATGGGGTTTTTTTCTTCTTTAAGTGTATGGTGTTTCGTGTAATGAATTGAAGGTCTTTTTCCTCTATAGTGCTCCTGTGACAGCTCTTGGATGTAGGATGTTTTTTTTAAGCTGATTATCCTTTATTTCTCCTCATGCTTACTGACTTCTTTTGGGAGCTGCAGGATCTTACAGTGAAATGTAATGAGGAAGAAAAATCACTAAGCACAGAAGCGTTTTCCAAGGTTTCACTGACCAACCTACGTAGACCAGCAGTTCCAGATCTTTCCACAGACCTGGGGATGAACATTTTCAAAAAGGTGAGTGGAAGAAAATTGTGCTTTAGTTTACCTATGATTCAGCACCTCAATGTCCTGCTAAGTAGCAGCTGAAAGTCTGCTTGGACTATATAATCTTGCCACATTTGAGATTGATATCTCTTTTCATTGGAACTGATTTTCTGTGAAATTACGTAGCTTTTTATATGCATGTTCCAAACAGAATACTAAAATCTTTATTCAGATAACTATCCTGCTGGAAGTGTATGAGGGGAGGGTACTCAGTGCTGATTTTTATATACTGGTGCTCACTGTATTTCCAGCTAATTCAGTGAATTCTTTTGATGTTTTTACCTCATGAAGCTCCGGGTTTGCAACCATCCAAGCTACTTAGCAGGCTTTTGTGGATTCTGGTAATCTAGCTCATGGTCTGAGAATATCATAAAACTATACAAGGACTTCCATCCCAGCCTACGGAAAGACTGAGTTCCTTTAAATACTCATATGGTTCCAGAGTGCAGATCATTGCTGTCGGGATAAATGGCCAAGGTAAAAATCTCAGAGTGGAATGTTGTACTGGGGATACACATCTGCGTTATCTTTTTCCCTGAAATGGTATTTTGGCATGCCTTAAAGCCTCTACTTGCTATCATATCTGCTCCTCTTCCTCCTGCAGTTTAAGAGCCGCAAAGAGGACAGGGAGCGTGAGCGCAAAGGGTCAATTCCTTTCCACCACACTGGGAAGAAACGGCAACGAAGGATGGGAGTGCCTTTCCTTCTCCATGAGGATCATTTAGATGTCTCGCCCACTCGAAGCACTTTTTCTTTTGGCAGTTTCTCTGGAATTGGAGAGGACCGGCGTGGCATTGAGAGAGGAGGATGGCAAACCACGATATTAGGTGAGATGTTGTTATCTCTGCTCCAAGTTCTGTGTTATTCCTGTCCTGAACATTCATGAAGCAACAGAGGCTCTTTATTTCTTTATCTATTGTGTTGCCACCTTATGTCCTTGGCTTTATTTGGAGCATTACACACCTGTTTGTAGAAGTGGCAACTCTGCTGACAACAGACCTTGAATGACTTAGGTTTTAGTTCACTTTTTCTCTGTAAACTACCATCTCTACTGGAATAATAGCTACTATAGCAACCTGTAATGATGTCTGAACCACCTGAATACATTTTCCCTGAGTGGCAGCAAGCATTGCACAACTGCAGCTTAAATAGATTCAAGGAATTGTTGCAACCTCTTCTTTTAAAGAAAAGTCTCTGGAGAGGCAGCAACATGGTCATCAGGAGTATGACAAAAAATATTCAGTCTTCTTCAAGTGAATATTGGATACAATATAAGTAGGTTATTGTCTCTCATAATGAGACTTACACTGTCTTGATACTGCAAAGATACAGTGTTTAATTCTAAATATTGGCTCCTTCAAGCTTCCAAGTTCACTGAACAGTGTCTAGGCATCGTGTCTCTTTCACAAACTTACTCCTGATGTCATAAATTTTCATCCTGGCACCCTCCCTTGGAGATGATAGGCAGCAAAATGATTGCCTAAGGCCATGCTAGAGCCTTCTCATTTTAATCAGCTTAGATGGCATCATTTTCATAAGCTCTCCATTGTAAACATGTCCTTCTTTGGGACAGAGGACTGTGATTAACCAAGTGAATTTTTAAAGATTCATGTGTGTTTTGTCATGGCTGAAATAAAAACACCTACAGATTTGATCAAGAACAACAAACTTAGTATCCAAATCCTCCTTTCCATATCTTGAGTAGTTCAAAAAGTTTGTTAAATTTTGACCTCAGGGGCTTCAGATTCTTGTCCTGACTTAACCTACAGTTCTTTCTTTCTGATATCTCAGTGAAATCATGTATTTCAGATCCGATGGTCAACAGCTCCTGCCTACTTCAGAGAGAGTCCCCCTCTTTCAGTAGGTTCTTTTGATTTGTATTTTATTCTATTCCTGAAGAACTTCCTTTGCTTTAGCACTTCACATACTAATATACCTAAATCTTTTGGACAAGTGTAGAAGAAATTAAATTCCTATGACTTGTCCAAAGATGGACTCTTTTTGTGCTGAGCAATCTTATTTTCCTGAAGCTGCTAGTGGGTGACAGTGTGGATGTCAGCTAAATTAGTATGTGCTGAGGGCAAGAGCCTTGCAGAGAGTTTGTACCTTCGGTCTTTATGTCAACGAACTCCTGCAAGGTATCCCTCCGTCATGTTTGGTTCTGCTTCACAGGGTCCTGGAAGGCCTTGACTTTTGCAGACTCCAATCCTTCGATTTCTAACCTCAGCTACTGTCTCTTGCCTCCAAGCACCTCTCAGATGAGCAAGTATCCATTTCTTGTCTTCACCCTAGGAAAGTTTACCAGACGAGGGAGCTCTGACACAGCAACGGAGATGGAGAGCCTGAGCGCCAGGCATTCGCACTCCCACCACACGCTGGTCTCTGATCTGCCTGACCACTCAAACAACCATGGAGAGAACACAGTCAAAGAAGGTAAATTGAACACATCAGGAAAGAAACACTTTGCTGAAATATCAACTTCAAGAAACTGAGGAAGTGTTATGGTTTCCATGCATGAATATATGACTAGTATTTTCCTTTTTTTTATCCTGCATCTCTTGAGGTATTTTTTGGGTCTGTGTAATTTGGAACAATGCTCCAAATATATCTTGTTTGTCTGGTGTGGTTTGTCAAAAAGAACTGTAGCCATCAACAGGAGAAGGCAGGGTTTGGGTTTTTTATTCACTTTTCCACAACTAGCACAAAATTTCGCCAGAAACTTGGGTGTGCTAACTTCAGTGGTTTCGTAGGGAATCTTGTGGTATTTAATGCCCCTTCACAGTCCACAGCTGCTGGATTGTGCTGAAAATCACAGTTTTTTCTTAATTGTCCTTTTTTTGAATAGAAACCTGGTTTTGAAATTTACTCGAAGCCTCCCTGGAGCCTGTCTGTCTTGGAGGCCTCGGCAGAAGTAGCAATGCCAGTGTGACCAGAGTCGGAGAAGCCCTGGTGAGATGAAGTCTGCTCCAGAAGGAAGAGTCTTTCTGTTGGCAGGGCAACACGACCCTTGTCAAACAATATTAGCCAAACAGAGGAAAGCTCTCTTATGTCAGCAGAGCTGTCTGTGCCAGAGCACTTTTCTGGCAATGAACCTACTGCCTAAACGCAGTGATTTTTATTTTCTCACTCATGTGTAGTGCTACTGACAAAACCTGGCCATAGAGATTGGGCCTAACTCGTGGCAAGTGCAACCTTAAACCTTGATGAGGGAACAGGATATCACATACCCTGTGGAGCAGGGCACAGTCTGTCTCAGCACAAACTGTCAGGCAACTTACCTAGGAGGCTACACATGCACTCAGATATCACGCTATGTGCTGTAGCCTTGGAGCTCTCAAAGATCCGTGCTCTTTCAGCACAGCAAATCTGTATAGTCTTGAGAGGGGATGGATTTGCATCATCTGTGGTCCAGAGCGGGCACACTTCCTTCATCTCTGCTGTGTCTCCTGCTCAAAGCTCTTCTGGATCAATTTTACAGAGTTTATCTTCCCAACCTGCATTTGTTCTATGGGACAGTAATCCTACTCACTACACTGGCTTCCTAGCCAAATATTTTCTAAAAAAGTAGCCATATGCAGTTCTTGTTTTTCTAGTTGTACCCCAGGTATAATTTTGCAGCCAACTATATGAATAATAGGACAAATCATACTATTTCTAGTAATAGTCTATGACTTTGAATGAACCATTCTACAGTTAGAGAAAAAGTACGAATATTGCTTACTTCTTTTGTATTGTGTGACGTGGAATATCCAAGCATGCTGGTCATTCACAATTTCCCATCTGTTGTCTATTTTCCCTGGTCAGGAGATGCTTGATAATGAACTCATTTCTTCTGGCTGACACACTGAAAAGCAGAGATGAAAAATTAGTTATGTCCCAGGCAGCTGCTCAAGAGGAGTCATGGGCACATGCTGCAGGCATGCATGGATGTAAATAAAGAGTCCTTAGTCCTCCTTCCTACCTCTGTGAGTTCCATCCAGCAGTCAGTCCTATCAGTGATAATAAAATACAGATTCAACATGGAAAAGTTACTTTATGTAGGATTTGGATGTGGATTTTTGTTCCTAATTTCAAAATAAACTGAGAAAAACCTTAGTGAAACGAAAAATAGCTACGCCTGGATAATCATCAAACTTGGTAGCTCAGGAACTAAATTTACTAATTCCATCAATATTATTATGTTCACCACACAAATGTCAGTGAATGGCATTAAAAAGTCACGGCTGCCAGCAAGAAATCCTCTGATTACAGGAAGCTAATTCTTGCCGTGATCATTGACCGAATTGTAGCCTAGTTCAAGGTATCACTATCAGCCTTAGAACATTTTTCCTAATAAATGGTGCTAGTTTAGTACTGGCATGGTTGCACATACTATCTGGAAAGGTAGTCATTGCTCTGGCAAGTTGGTATTTGCATAATATAACCAGTCTATCGCTGAGTCAGTGCTTGAAGATTCTGATTAGATGTATGCTGTTTTATTCATTATAACTCATTAAATAGCCTTACATAGGGATTCTTCGTTCCTCCATAGCCCTGTTACTGTACTGTCTGGCAGAAAGTGGTCCAGTCAATGCTGTGGGACACATAGGGTCTTTCAACACTACAGGATGTATAAACACACTTACAGAGCACTAAATGTGGGAAATTACTGACATCATGGCTTGGAGTTCAGCATGAGTTTCAAAACCATGGTGAATCCTTGATAAAAATTGTCCCATGTATCCAGAATGCTATCACCACCTGAGCTAACCAATTTAAAGTTAAGTTTGGCTATGTCATGATGTCCCCTCTCTGAGCACTGTGAACTTAGACACCATGTTGCCATTCTCATCAGTCAGCTTTGCATTTTGGAGATGGTTTAGGCTGTCACAGGTACTGGTAGGAACATGCTGCTCCATTTTTTTTCGGATGGTGTGATGAAATATGAAACTGGTGTAACTTTAGAGAGCTGTTCCCGGTTGGTGCTGCTGTTAACCCACCTTTACTCCTGCATCCAGCTGCAGAGTCTTTCCTCTTTCCTTTGACAGGGTGGTGCCGCTTTTAGGACAAGGCATTGGACTGAAATAGGGAAAAAACCTACTGAAAATCCAATCCACCTTTTGGATTAGATTTAGGCTGGCTGAGCTCCATGATCTACTTAACTGCCCAGTTGACTGAGATCAATTTAAGCTGCCATGAAACTGTACTGCTAGATCAAGCTTGGGGTTGTTCTAATTTATAGTAGCTTAAAGGAAGAAACCAATCTATGCTTTCATCCCTGTGCCCGTGATAGGAATTAGGAACCTGTCTTTTTCAGCATTACAAGCTGCGTTAAGAGCTGCGCCCTTCTTGTAAACAAGCACAGCCTTGGTTTTCCATTGCATAGCTCTAGAGATGGAAATTTACAGGTAGCTATTTTCTTCCCTGCAGTGCGGTCACAGATCTCAACCATCACTGTGGCAACCTTCAACACTACCCTGGCCTCATTCAATGTGGGCTACGCCGATTTCTTCAGTGAGCACATGAGGAAGCTTTGCAACCAGGTGCCCATCCCTGAGATGCCGCATGAGCCACTCGCATGTGCCAACCTCCCACGGAGCTTGACAGACTCCTGCATCAATTACAGTTGTTTAGAGGATACGGACCACATTGATGGAACCAACAACTTTGTCCACAAGAACGGCATGCTGGATCTCTCGGTAATTGGCAAGGAATGAGGAAAGCCAGGTCCCTCTTCTGTCAATATAGCTGTACCATTGAGAGCAGGGGTTTGATGGGCTTTTCCTCCACCTCTTTATATGACTTCTCTCAGCAGTACATAAAGGTCAGTCAGATACATTTGTGCATATCGTAAAAGTATCCTCTGAGATACTGCAACTCCTGTTACTCTTTTCAAGGAGCGCATGTGCATGTGGAATGCACACATCAAATCTTAAGGGATACTTAAGGGCATGAACCAAGTTCCCTATAAAATAATATAAAACTGAACAGCACCCTTCTTCTAGTGGCACTTTAAAACTCACCTTCTCTACATTCCCCTCAATGACTTGACAGCTTCTGGTACACTGAAGCAGTGTTATCAGGCTCACAGATGTCATCCCATGGTTTCCTTTTCTGCTTGACTGTGCCTAGCCCATGGTTTCTTGTCTTACACTGAGATTGTAAGCTCTTGGGGTTGAGGGTTGTGTGTACTTCGTTCTGAGTTTGTACTGTGCCTGCTATAATGAGTGTCTGGTCTGTGACTAGAATTTTCAGGCACTAAATAGTACTAGGAGGGAAAATACATCTGACTTGAAATATGATATCTGAATCTCCCAGGTGGTCCTGAAGGCTGTTTACTTGGTCCTGAACCATGACATCAGTTCCCGGATTTGCGATGTGGCTCTGAACATTGTGGAGTGCTTACTTCAGCTTGGTGTGGTGCCCTGTGTAGAGAAGGTTCGGAGGAAGAGTGAAAACAAAGAAAATGAGGCCCCTGAAAAGAGATCAAGTGAAGGATCATTCCAGCTCAAAGGCACTGCTACTGGTGGTTCAGCTTGTGGATTTGGGCCTCCTCCAGTTAGTGCAGCTGGAGATGGAGGAGAAGAAGGAGGTGGTGGAAGTGGTGGAGGAGGTGGAGGTGGAAGTGATGGAGGTGGTGGAGGAGGAGGGCCTTATGAGAAGAATGACAAAAAACAAGAAAAGGTTTGTCTTGTTTCCCTTTATACAATTCCCAAATGTGATGTAAGATCTGTTAAGGTTGCCCTTCTGTTTTCCCTCCTTTTGTTGTTTTTTTTTCCTACCATAGTGACAAATTAATTTGTTTAACTTTGGTGCTCACTTGGGGTTCCACTGAAGAAACATGTCTGAGAATTCAAGCACTGTAGCTACTGCAGTGAAGCAGCTGTCAAAAGCAGAGTTTATGAGCCTTGTGTGGACATTTTCAGTATCTTGTCAAAATGTCTGAAACTCTCACTCGCAATGATTTTTTTTTCAGGTTTATTATTCATAACTTATAAGGAAAACCAGAATCCAATGTGTGAGCAGTTTGTTTTCTTTGATGGTCAGAAATCATAAATTTTTCAGTATTGCTATGGGAATTGGACAAGAGATGCTGTTGCTGACCTCTAAAGTTGCAATTCATAGAAGCATAATACCTAAGACATTTTAAAAAATGCTAATTTTTCTGCTCAAGCAAGTCAGCTGTCTGTTTTTTTCAGGTAGAATTCTTTGGAAGTAAGTGCTGAATGGTATTAATAGCTGCATGCAGGAGACTTCGCATTTATAGCATGACGTTTTGAGGGGAGCTGAAAGGGAGGGGTCTGGCCCCTAAACTTGAAAAATAATTGGACTAAGCATTTCAAGAGTAACAACTTGGGAGTGGCGTGTCTGACAGTAGAGATGGAGAGCAATTTTTTAAAAGTAAAATGCTAACAAAATGTCAGTGGTTGTGCCAGGGTTTCACATCATCTTTTCTGTCACCCTAAGGATGAAGGCCCATCTGTCAGTACCCATAGGCTGGCACTCACAATGCTGATCAAAATTGTGAAGTCCCTGGGTTGTGCCTATGGTTGTGGAGAAGGACACCGAGGGCTCTCTGGAGATCGCCTGAGACACCAGGTATTCCGGGAGAATGTAAGAGAATTAAAGCTCATTAAAGCATCCCCCTTGTACTTTTTACATCAGCTGCTGAGATTGCTGTCTGACCCCTCTGTAGCTTTCTCTGTATTGGCAGTAAATGTGTTACTCTGTGCCCCAGCTCACAGACTGTGTTGCAGCCCAGCCACAGCAGATTTTCAGCTATTGTGTTACCTTCCAGTCCCTGGGGCTTGCTAAGAGCACACCCGAGGCTCAGGGTGCTTTCAACCACCCCAATGGGTGGGTTGTCTGGGAAGGGACAAATACATGGGAGCAAATCCCCTGAGTGAGGTGGTGTAAGTAATATTTCACATTGTGGTACCCCAACAGAGCATGCTATTTACAGAAGGTGCAGCTATCTTAGGTTGCATGTCTGAATTCAGAAGTCTAAGGCATAGTTATGTCCACCTTTCCTACTGGTGATTATGACTGGTTGCTGCTGGGCTGCTCCATCAGTAGTTGGAGTGTACTGTGCTTGCAAGCATGTTGGTGTGCTGCAAGGTAGTAGAAGACTCATACCCTGTTTAATAGCAGGGTAGATGGTCACTGTTGATTCCTCTCATTTTTGGCTCTACCCAAGCTAAAAGCAGTGGGAAATGTCCAGGATGTAGCCTTCACATCTGGCTTCATCCAGAAGAGTTTGAATCCCTGAGATTGGACCAATGCTCTCTCAAACAAGAGCCTTTCAAAGACTGTCTTCAACACATGCCTCTTCCTCGCCTTCTGTGCTTGCAGCAGTGGGCGTTTTTGATGACTGTTATAAGAATTTACACTGTGCCCATCCATGGGATGGGTGGGAGCCAGGTGCTTCTCCCTGGCTTTTGTTAGCCTGAGCCATGACAATAGAGCTATAATTTGGTTCTGGGATCTAAGCTAGATAGCTCAGAGATGGACTGGCTGCCTCTCTCCCATGCAACATTCTGTTAGCTAGACTCCAGGGTACTGAGGAGACTGTAGTAGTAAAGTTAGTTCTGGGCAAAATGAGGTAAAAGAGTCTCAGTGATAACAGTAGAAAAGTTCTGCACAGAGCACTAGTGGAACATACACCATGTTCATCAAAATGTCGACTAGGTTTTATATTGTATGGGAGCTGTCCCAGCAAAACATTTAGACCTGTGAATAACATGAAGCATAAAGGAACAGGTCTTGTGGAGACAATGTTCTTGTCATGTTCGTTGAATTGAGGTCCTTATGGGAAGAGATTTTCCTACACATATAAGTCTGCTGCATTTTCTGTGTGTTTGTCTGGCCAAACTGCTTTGCATGCACCATTTGTGTTGATTGCATGGACAGTCACATGTCTGAGTTTAGTGGAAAGTTAAGCGCCCTATTTCAGGTAGCAAGAGAGTTTGTATTTCCTACAGAGCTGATATTTCAGATTCTCTTAACTCCACCTTCATGGGGTCCCAGTAGGTTGGATACTTTTGTGAAGTTGCCAGCGAATAGCGTTTAAATAAAAACTAATGTTTGCCTGGTATAAATTAGTCACTGAGTACAAGTGCATCGGATGGGTTTAGTCTGAGCCAGAGGCTGAAAATCAGATGCCTGAGACTATAAGCCTTGACTGAGGGAGTACATTTCTGCTTTATTAATATTCAGTGACATTTTACTTTAGGATTGGGTAAAGGAGGAGAGACCTTGAGACATTGGCTGACAGTGACTTCACCACCACTTCCAAACAGTGGCACCCATACTGGTGCACTGTCTCCTTGTGCTGAAATTCTCATTGGCTTCAGAAGTAAAAGTATCTTCTGCTACTGGGCACAAACCTTCTGGCTCCTAGGGGAGGTTATTTTAGAGAGCACAGCCAAGCACTGGCTAAGCAAGAGCAAAAAATACCCTGTTCCTGTTAGCAAAACTTGAACACATACTTTGATGTGATGTGATTTGATGGGTATCGTTGCAGGCTCAGAACTGCCTCACAAAGCTGTACAAACTGGATAAGATGCAGTTCCGGCAGACCATGAGGGATTATGTGAACAGGGATTCTCTCAATAATGTGGTGGATTTCCTACACGCTTTACTGGGATTCTGCATGGAGCCAGTCACTGACAGTAAGTATAGCTGGCATCAGAAACTCTCACTTGAGTATTCCTTAAATGGACCATCAGAAAGAAACTACACCCATTTCTTTTCCTTTAAAAAAGAAAAAAATATTGTGGCTGACTATCCTCAGAATATATAGAATGTATCCTCAGCCATTGCAGGTCAGGGGAGTTGGATCTCTTCTGATTTGATCACCCAGTGATCTCACCTAGTGATCTTGTATCACCCAGTGCACCTGGAATTGAAGCCTTCTCTTTTGATTCTTTCTACCTGTTGTTCATGGCTCTTTAAAGAAAGTATTTTCATTCAACTATGCCTCAGGCAAGAAGTTTTCTGATTTGTGACCAGGTGTCAGCTGGAATGGCTTGTTTAATCCAGGGTTTATTCTGAGCGGAGATATAATTAAGCATTAAAACCCTTTGTGGTGCCTCAAGTAAGGCAGTAAATAGCAAGAATGGATTGAATAAACAATGATAACATGCAGATACACATCTCTAGTTAGAAGCATGTGTGCAGTTTTATTTATGTATATGTATATATGTTTTGGGGTTTTTTTTCAAGTTAGAAAAATTATTCCAGGTGCAACTAGAGCGACCAAACCTTTATGCTTGGTCACTGCACACAACAACAGTTACAATGACTTTATATAGATTAGGGATAGCTCCTCTGAAGCATTTGGGGAGTTTTACTAGTCCATTAGCCTATCTCTGATTACAGGCGTTTTAGAGAAAGCATCCGAAAATATCATGAGCAGGCTTTTGTGAAGAAGGTGCCCAGAGGATGTTTCCCAAAGTATTAATCAATTATTGACTGGCTCATGCTTTGAAGCCTGGCAGTTCATGCAGCTTTTGAAAGTGTTTTCACCTAATGAAACTAGGAAGTTTCTTGTTATTCACATAACGTGTGTAATTCTTTTTTGACTCTTTCTGGGAGCTTGGTCTCCTTGTGCACCTTGCAAGAAAATCATTCTTGTAGTTCGGGAGATTTTCTTTTCATTGGTGTTCTCAATAATCTGCTGAATCAAACACATCTTTTTGTTTAGAACAGTAAACAGAAAAGCAGCCTTATTCTATACATCTCTAAATGAGAGAAATGGATAAAAGGAAGCTAGAGTGGTCCTGATCTTTTCAATCCTTTTTTATACTACAGTTATTTCTGGGAAGATTTCATCCTTCTCATTTATTTTATGTTTCCCTTTGGCTTTATTTTTTGTAGGGTGAGATTGCAGGGGCTGAGCATGGGATATTAGGTGAGGATTTGCACTTGTCTCATGTAGCTGAATCCCTTTAAGCCACATTTTTTTAAACAGTTCCTAACAAGGGGACTTACTTGTACCTGAATTTCACAGACAAGGCTGGATTTGGGAACAACTTCACCACAGTGGACAACAAATCTACTGCCCAGAGTGTAGAAGGTATTATTGTGAATGCCATGTTCAAGTCATTGATCACTCGCTGTGCTTCCACTACACATGAGCTGCACAGCCCGGAAAACCTGGTAAGCACTTAATTTCATGTTATCAAAGTTACTTTTTCACTTGGATGTCACCAGTGAGGCTTTACAGTAGAAGAATTAATTCAGTTTAGCCAAACGCCTTGAGTGTAGCAAGCTGTGCAGACACAACTGAAACATGATGTAAATGCGATGCCCTTCTTGCATGCCTACCTTGGAACCTGAGGAGTTAGCCAGGATAAAAGTTATGCACTCTTCAGGCAGCTTGTGCGTTTGTTGTTTTTTTTACAAATGGATTAGTAGCAAGGGATTAATGAACAAGATCACTGCCAGCATAAATAACTTTCAGCAAAGTTAAAGCCAGTTTACTTGGTTAAGGATGTGGCCCACCCATGGCAGAGTCTATGTGTTACTGAACAGCAATTTGGTAGGTCTTCCCAAGGTTTAGATGATGAACATTCAATTTACCAAACACCTGGAGGAAAGTAAGATGCTGCTGGTTGCTGCCAGTGTGCTATCTCTCCAGAGCAGTCTGTAGAATGGATAGCACAAGCTCTTTTTTCAGGTTGATGCAGAATCTAGCAGCTAATCTCAAACCACCTCCTTTATTACCAGAATTTAAGATTTTTCATGGAAGCACCCAAGAAGCACTCTTGTGCTCCATCCTTATGGAACAGCTGTAGAGGCACTGATGTCTAGTGTCTGTGAGGGCAAGGGACACAAAGACGAAAAACACAGTAACATCTTAAACCAGCAAAGCGGTATGACTGTGTCCAAGTACTCTTGTTCTTATGGATATTCCTCCTTTGGAATGTTCCTCAGCAGAAATTAAGTGGTGGGATGCAGAAAAACATGTGCCATTGCTGGATCTAGAATAGGATTGCCAAGTGTAAATTTTCTATATAAATTATATGTTGTTCTGGACACTATTTTAGCTATTGTGTAAGGTGAAATTTATCTTTAAGATAGCCCTGTTCATTGTGCCTGAGAATATAGTACACAGAGTATATGTGAGGATTTCCTGTTGCATCACTCTTTAGAGTGAACTTTGTGCTCAATGTCTTATGAAAAAGAGCCCTAATCAGTATCGAGATCCATTTTTTTTTGTTTGGGTTGGTTTTGTTGTTGTGATGGGTGTTTTGTTTGTTTTTGTTGAAAGCTGGCTGTGCAGTTCCTAGCTGGGAATTTTCAGAATAATCCAAGATCTTTCAGGAAAGTTCACAGATCAGTCCTATAAAACTGTTCCCTTCATCCCCTTGCCCTCAGATACAGAGGTGATTTGTCACATCATGGGTGTGTATGAATGTTCAGAACTAAAAAGAGCCTTGAGTGTAGGAGTAGGTTGGGGAATGAGTGAGTCATTCCTCTCTCTTCCTGTGATGTAAAACTCTGAAATAATGAAGAAAAATCCCCAAACACCCACTGGTTTTGAAACAAAACATGAAAGTTTTTGCACACTATTTCTGTGCCCCCTGCTTTAGCTATTTCATGCTTTTTAAGATTATGGGCTAGATGAATGGGATGAAACAGGCTTTAAGTCATCTTTGCAGCTCCCTCATCCTGCAGCTGTTTTAACCTCTGATAACTTTACATCTGTCATAGCCCATTGCAGAGCATGTTTCGTTACAGCAATGTTCCTCATAACCTGCTGCTTCTGAGTGCACTAAGTGGAGTTTCCAGCTCTGGATCCCAGCCAGAAAACAAACCCTGTACATGGAGAGTATATCAGACAAGAGCTGGAGGAAGTTGTGGACTGCTGAAATACCTTAGAAACTATTGATTCTTACTGCTTCTTCCTAAATTGCACACTGAATTCTTTCTTTTCCATAATGTCTTCCTACTCAGGGCTTATACTGCGATATCCGACAGCTGGTCCAGTTTATCAAGGAGGCTCATGGGAATGTATTTCGGAGAGTGGCACTCAGTGCCCTCTTAGACAGTGCTGAAAAGCTAATACCAGGGAAAAAAACAGAGGAGACAGAGCCAGAGCCAAAACCTTCTGGGAGCAAAAGGTGGGTGTCTAGGAGGGAGAAGGCAAATGACTAACTTGCATATGGCTCTATGACTACATGCAAGGAACACAAATGCAGGAACTCCAAGGGCTTGTGTGTTTTATCTTGATAGTGTATATCAGGTCCTGATGTACAGAATTGTACTGTGGCAGCAGTCTCCTTTAAAATTTAATGAAATGAAACAGTAATATAGTTGCAGCAGAAAGTGTTAACCCTCTCATACAAGAGGCCTAAAAGAACAGTGCAATGGAAACACTGTGAGAAGGAAAGGTTAAGAGACTGACAATGTCAGTCCCAAAACACTATGTGGACATAGCATTTAATGCACATCACATCCTTAGTGTTATTTATCCGACAGGTAAAGCCTGGTATGCAAACCAAGTCCCAGAAGAAGTCTAATCCTGACATGTTTCTTTATAAAAAAAAAATCCTCTGGTGCTTTGAGACTTGTCATATTAAATATTGAGAAGAAAGATTAAGAAAGTTGAAAAACTCCTGAAAACCTTGGCTTTGCTTCTGACAGTTGATGCCGTTTTCATGAATGATATGTAGAGAGGCAGGAAGCTGCTAAAGAGATGGTACATCTCTAAAGCTGCTTTGTTGCTCAGCAGCACTGGTTTCCATGTCATGTAGCTATGGCATAACCATGAGATGGGCCATCCATGTGCTTCAACTGATGATTTATATCGTCTGTATAGATCTGAGCTGGGAAGTATCATCACTGATAAAGGCCAGGCATCAGCTGCCCCTGATGAATGCCGCAGTTACATCTCAAGCCGTCCAATGCAAACTCCAGAACAGTAAGTAAATATTGAATTGTTTCCCCGTGTTGTTGCCAGCAGCTTCCTTTTAGGGTTAATACAAATGGGCAGGACAGCAAGGCTTATCTCCTTGAACACTACAACAAAGTGTTGAGTGTCCATTCAGGAGCTGCTGATAACATCCAGAGAATACCTATTTTCTGTGTTGCCAACTGAACCCACCCTGATTTTGATGAGGAACCATCAGAGATTTTCAAATAACAGTGCAGTAGATTTGTCAATATCTCATACCACCATAGCCATCAATAAAGTGTTAATTCCTCAGAGGTGTCATCACAACTGTTCTCCATGCTTTGTTTGTACTTCTGGGAGAGGATAGTATTAATTTTCAACTTCCAAGTTGTTGCTAAGCGTCATTAATCCTTTACTGCCTCGCAAGAGCCAGCTTATCCCTGATCTGTCTTGGGCACGTAGTCCCCGAAGATTGTTGCATTTCCCTTACCAACACAAGTGGTCTACCAGTTTTCTTAATGAGAAAATCAACCTGCTGTTAGGCGTGGCACATCTGAAGTGTCTATTGTCCAAAGAAGTAAATTTAATCAATACTCTTAAAAATGTAAGGAAATTTTATAAATGGCCACTGGTCCCTAAGGAACTTTGAAAAAGTCATTTAAACTCTCTGTGCCTCTGAACACTCATCCATCTTGTACAAAGACATAGCTTGCACAAGGGCCCACAGCTCTTTATTAAGTATTCTCCTGCATTAACTGGGCCCGCAAAGTCTCACTGTTGCTGAGACTGCAAGGATAATGCAAGGCCCTTTACTGCTTTACAGAACTGCAGCAAGCTGTTCTCCTCTGAGCCTTGCCACGGCCATGGGAGATCTCAAGAGTATAGCAAAATAGGCTGTCCCTATTCCAATACTCCAGCAGTATTGGACAGTATTGACTCCAGCAGTTTCACAAATCATGATGTCCAAAAGCTCTTTGGTACACATGCTTTTAGAAAAACACCAGTGTAGTCTTATCAATGTGGGTCGTTTTGACCTAAAGAAGATGATTGGTTTTTCATATAAAGGAACTAAAAATTGGAATGACCTCTTCAATGGACAAGCTCCTCAGGGTAGAAAAGATGGTTATTTTATGCCTTGAATAATACTGAACGTGTTGTCAAATTTGATTATGTCCCACTGAGAACAGTATGTTTGGAATTCAAAATGAAACAACCTCAAAGAATAGAGTGGTTAGGAGGGGGCTGCAGGAGAGAGGCCTCATTCCCCTGAGCATCCAAACTTCACTGAAATGCAGTTCACACTCTGCATCCTTTTTCTTCCAGTGATGAGCAAGTCCAGGGGGCTGGTCTGGGACGCAAAGACTTCTGGCGAAAGATGTTCAAGTCACAGAGTGCAGCGAGTGATACCAGTAGTCAATCTGAGCAGGACACATCTGAATGCACCACTGCTCACTCTGGGACCACCACAGACAGGCGCTCCCGCTCCCGTTCCCGAAGAATCTCCCTTCGAAAGAAACTCAAACTCCCCATAGGTAAATGTATGTCTCTTCCTATTCTATATACATATTGCATGTGCAAAGAAACACAAATAGATATATCTGTCTTAAGTAATATTGCAAAACAGCTCCTTATTGTCCAAGTATATTGTATATTCTCCGAAGGGAAGGTGGGAAATTCTGCTCTCTCCATTTTATAGATGGGGAACTGAGGCAAAGGGAACTGGAAGCAATTTGCCAAAGGTAACAGAGTATATCTGTGGCAAAATAGAATACTGACTCCGTGTCTCCAAAGTAGAGGGCTAGTACCTTAATCTCACAGGCAGGAGGGATCTCCTATTTGCGGAAGGGAAATCCACATAGCATTTGATAGACAAAGAACGCATCCTTTACAAGTCCCAGCCTTGCATGGAGGTTAATACATGTAACATGGGAAGGTTACTTTCTTCTTTCCTCAAATTTTCCTATACCCTACCATGGTCACTTTGGAGAAATATGCTGCAATTGCTAATAAATAGATTTTGCGTGTAAGCATTTTCAGAGTTGTCCTGAGTGATTTGTTCTGCAACAGGGAACTGGCTGAAGCGTTCCTCCCTCTCTGGCCTGGCTGATGGGGTGGAAGATCTCCTAGATATCAGCTCTGTTGACCGTCTGTCTTTCATCAGGCAGAGTTCCAAGGTAAATGTGTCAGACTGGATTGCAGAGAGTTTGGTTTTAGCCATCTAAGGAAACATTCTACTCAACATGGACATTACAGCCATCACAGAAATCTTCAGAGTAGAGTGCCATGGGCATCTGATACTGGACTTCTGTGGCTCACAGTGAAGACTAGGTTAAACCTACACTGCACTTGTCAGTTTACTTTGGTTTACTGAAATAGAAACCCAGGCTCTGTCAACACACTTAAGGTTCAATTGTTGGTCATGCTTCTCCTAACTTCTTTGTGCCTTTACAGCCTCTTGCAAAAGACCAATCCTTTAAGCAGAAAGCTTAAAAGATGAAGTGCTGCAGCATACATAAATCTGTGCAGACTCACTTCTGTTACTATGGTGATCCGCTGTGTTACAGCCCTTCTGTAGGTGCTTTACCTCTCTGTCCCAAGGGACAGTGGTGCGGCACAGCCTGACCTGGCCCTTTGTCTTTGCACAGGTGAAGTTTACCAGTGCAGTGAAGCTGTCAGAAGGAGCGGGGCCAGGAGGTGGCCTGGACAATGGGCGAGATGAAGAGGAGAATTTCTTCAAGCGTCTTGGTAAATGGCGCACCTGCCGAAGACACCCATCCAAGCTTCATCACACAGAAGAAAAAGATGGTTAGAAATCAGGGTTCTCGTCTCCTTTTTTCTTTCTTTTTTTTTTTTTTTTAAAAATCACTTTCTTTCTGTACTTTACCCCTTTCCCTTTTTTCCTGCTTTCTCCATGTTTTTTTGTATCCATTCTAGCCTTCTCCAATGTTTTAGTCTTTGTAACCGTTTTCTTTCTCTTCCTTCTTTCTTTTGCTTTGATTTAGAAAAAAAAACTCTAGCAAAGTAAATTTTTTAAAAATCAAGACTATACAAACAAAATATGCAAATGCATTTGGGCTTTTTAAATCATATTGAATTTGATAAATACAATTGAAAAATTAATGCTTGCTTCAAAGCACTTAGTTCAAATTTAGGTGTGTAAATCTTTTGTTGCCTAATACAACAATGGATGTTCCATCAGGTTTTTCGTTTGTTTTTTCTCCCCCCCAATTTGTGACCATTTGACAGTTTTAGCAAAGATCAACACAGAAATGGAAAACCCTGCACAAACCTTGTTATAATTATCTCTTTTCTTCTGTGTTTGCATGTCTAGTGTCTGCATACCATTCGTTAGGGATGCTGTCCTTTTTTCTTAGCACACAACATAATAATAACAACACTATTTTTCCTTTCCACAAAAGTATAGTTAATTGCAAAGTATTTTCAAGATCAGCAATGTTTGAAAAGTGCCTTTATGAATAATACAAGGTCATGATATATTCTCTTTTAAAATGTCATGCAGTTATTCACATGATCATGTCCTCAGCTCAGAGCTCATTCTTGTTGTCAGGGAGATAACCTTATATCTTGAAGTTCTGATTTTTTCAAGAAAAGCCAAGCCAACTCCCAAAAACACACAAAATGGAGTAGATTTTCTTTTTCACCATGATTTCTGTAGCTTTACAGTGTGTGACACTCTCTGGCATTATGTTTTTTGTTTTCTGATATTGCACTTTGACACTGCATTGTATGTATTTCACCATCTGTCCCAGACCTGCTGTGTGATGCGCGTAAGGCATTGGTCAGGCAAGTGAGACTAGCAAAGTATGAGCACGTCTTGCCAGCATAAACTGCTCAGCATTCTACTACTGCAGAAACACTGGTGGTGATTTTCAGCTAGCTCTCAGGTGCAAGGAGACTGTGTCAGCCCAGAAGATTGTTGTAGCTTTGTAGCTGAAGGTGAATACCCCTGCAACGGGAGGAATGGCATTGTTTTCTTCATCCACTATGTACTGAAGTAGTATGTTCCACCATGTTTTCTCCCAGCTCTTACTGGGAACAAACAATTGAAGGGCAATGAGAGCTTTATAGACTGCCAGAGCTGTTTCTGCAGTGCTCATGTGAGATGTCCTTCATATTTTCTTGTAGGAAATGTTGTTTTTTTTCATCTTGTTAATGTTGGTTTTATGCCACTGTGAGTTTGCTTCTGCCTAAAGTGCCCACATTCTTGATTTAATGACATAGATTTAGTCTTGGCCCTGTGAGCATCAAGAGCCTTGTTCAATATGTGTGGCACATCTTTTCTGTGATGACATGTTAGTATTGACTTTTTGAACTTTAAAAGTGTCCATACTTCAGCCTTCTGTGAGTAACATTAGAATTTATGTAATTAATGAAGAGAACTTGAAACATCTTTTACATGGCAGTAAGAGAAGAGATGTACGTGACGCATGCTTGGTTTTGGTATGTGTATGCATTGGAAGTACCTTAATAAAAGTCATGTGATGGGTTAAAGAGAGAAACCCTTGCATGCTGGTGTGAGAAAGAAGCAAATTATGCAGCGATGTTGACGGCGTGAGTGGGCAGTTGCCGACTAACTGAAGTAAATAGAGGGTATTTAAAGTTTGTAAGGCAAAGTGTGACAGTTAAGAAAGTTGTATCACCATGTCCACAGGGACATCTGGCATGCAATGAAAGCCCCGTATAATTTCAAAAATATTAGTGTAGTTGTATATGCCTGTGTGTACAAACCTGTTGAAGGTGGATGGGCATGCTATTAAATCTCTCAAGGTCTGATCCTAAAGCATTATTTTGGAACCTATTTCTGCCTTCCCATTCTTGTCATTTATGATGCTGTGCCATTATTTTGCTCATGCTTTTTCCATGTGGTGTTTTCTCTTGTGTTTTTGGGGTTTTTTAACATAGTAGAGCAAATTTAAAAGAAAACAGTGAGAGTAGAAATATATTACAGTAAAAAAAAGAGGAAAAAAAAGTAAAATAATTTGTCACTTCATTTATGAATTGTAATCTTCATTGTGATATATCATCTAGACCACTGGAAATTCTGTGTTGGTTATGTATGTGAGCATATGTATGTGTGTGTGTGTATCTGTATGTATGCATATGTATACATATATATACACATAAATATATGCACATTCATGCTTAAGAAAATGTTTACTTTAATGATCTTTTTACCTATACTAAGAACAAAGTATATATACAGAAGTGAGTTATGGTATGTTTACATGATACCCTTAACTTTCCTGTTGGCACTTACTGAAGACATTATGAGAGACCATAGAAGTTACCAAGATGTTCAAGGTACAACAGCACACGCTTGCTCTGGGGGATGATCTCATATTTGCACAGGAGGCAACTGCTAGGGTGGCAGCTTGAGCATCCAGTGTCCTTCTGTGTTAGGAAATGACCTCTGCTCACTGGGTGAAATTTTCTGCAAGTCTGAGTCCCGTTAACATTAAGCCAGTGAGGGTTCCGCTGCTTACAGCAAGGCTACTTCAGGATGAGTGTAGCAGAGAACAGTCATCAGCTGCTTCTGAAGGATTCTCCTACAAAGCTTGAACTAAGTGCAAGGCTGGGACTGCAAAGGGCTGTAGTCATAGACTAGGTAGTACCACTGAGCCCAGATGGACAAAGCGTCTGGTAGAACTTAATGGTAGTGGTTAGGGAGATGCTTTGGGCATGCCTTTCTGTAGCAGAAAGTTAATTTTCTTTTCATTAACACATACAGTCACAGCCCTAACAGGGCCCTGAACAGGAAACACTTGTACCTCAAATGAGTTAGTGTTCCAGCAGCCATAGCAGGATGGCTCAGATAGCATGCTATAGGCTTTAAGGAAACTGGAGTTGGAAGAAAAGGGTATTTGTGCCTGCTCATTTATGTAAGTGTTCTACCTGTTCTTTCTACAGTAGTTGTTTGTTTGTTCCATTTTGATGAAATGTTTCCCAACATGGGAACATTTTTGTTTACTGGAAAACTATGTGCAGCTTCACTGGAGAGAGAAAAGCCACAGATGTTTGTAAAGAAGTCTCTTGAAATTTGATATACCTCTGTCTTCAGGGAAAAAGTGAAGATCTACATTGTCACTTTCTGTTGTGTTGTTTGTGATGCATAAGCGTTTTCAAAGTAATTCTGGGGAGTGCCGTCTCAAGGGGACTTTAAGTTTCAGCCATTCTTCTTTCCTGAGGAAGGAGAAGTCACAAAGTCCTGTAGGGTGACGTTTTGCTTCTTGTCTTTCAAATCCATATTTAAAAACAATCTTGAATTCTCTATTCAGTGTTCTCTTTCTTCTTCCGTGCTTTATCCTTCAGTATTCTGTAAACTTTTGTACTTTCACTTGTGAACAGGGAGAGTATTATGGATGAAGATAAAAAGCCCAGAAGCTGACTATTCTTGTTTTCACCAGCCACCCTAGCCTTGAAACTACTCTCCTGATTTCTGATCTCTGTCTTTCTACCACTCTCTCAACTCTGGGTACTGACTGCATAATGATCTTCTGCATTCAAAAGTGTTCATTCAAGTTGACAATGGGTTTAGTTAATTTATCATGTGAATTCTGTATATGGAGTTTAAAATTGTGCTTGAAAGAAGTCCTGGAGCAAGGTGCTAACTTCATTTTCAAAAGGAACTCTTATTAGGGAACTTCACATCCCAAGGAGTGTAAGACACTCAAGGGAGAGAAGCTGGAACAGTGATGATACCTACGAATTGAGTCCAGCCTCACTTGGGTGTTCTGGTAATTGCAGAAGCTGTATTTCCATGTAGAGCATTTTCAATATTTGCTACTGATTTTTCTGTCCTAGTAGACGATGTATTACTAAATTGAGACATGAGGAATTATGTTTAAGCATGCTCCACTCTAAGGTAGAATTAGAGACAATAGAGAAGTAAGGTAACAGGTTATTCAGGAAAAACAGACAGGATAATCTTTGTTAAAGAGGTGGGCAGGAAAGACCATAGCCTGGTTCACCTCTGTTGGAGTAGTTCCTGAGCTTCCACACTGCATATGGTGGAATTGTTTTGGGCAGACATCAGTATGATCAAAACCAGAATCTGGCTTGCTGTACACCTGTTCCATGGAAGTCATTAATATTGTAAAAATGCCCCTGATATCTTCAAGATAGGGCTTCAGTGTGAGGAAGGGATTTAGACTGACACTGTACTGACCAGGATTTCTGTTCCACTTTTTTTATTGGTGAGAGACTATGTTCCCTTCTCCCTACCTCTCCCTGCATCCCCTCTGTACTCTCTACCTCTTTAGGTTGCCATAGCTTTGATGATCACTTGACCTCCAACCAAGAAGGAGGAAAATCCAAGAACGTTGTGAACCTGGGAGCAATCCGCCAAGGCATGAAGCGCTTTCAGTTTCTCCTGAACTGCTGTGAACCAGGCACTATCCCTGATGCCTCCATTTTGGCAGCAGCCCTAGATCTTGTAAGTCATTCGTTGGTGTATTTTTACCTGCTGAGCGACAGCATGTGCATACGTGGCGGTCGGTTGTCATTCACTGATGCTGTCCATGCCCGCACAGAAAGCAGGTAAAGCATCGCAGCAGATCCAGCTGGTGGTGCTGTTAGTAGGTGGAGTTTTAGCATCTGTGACTGGATGAGATTGCAGACAAAATGGATTGTTTCTTTTATTGCATGGCTCTCCATAACTAGATTATTGCCAGCGCAAAGCTTTATTGTCAGACTTCAGATTTTGCTCACAGCCATTCTGCTTCTCCTTCTAGTGTTAATCTACAGAATGAGGATTGAAGACTGGGTAACTACCTGGGGAGGCACAGGAATTCCACTCAGATGTTCTGACAGAGTTATAAATACATTAGGCAACACTGATCTGTTAGTCACTAGGGCCAGTCAGTGGAAGAAACTTCAAATGTCAGATTGTGCATGCTTTCGAATGCAGATATTGCTGATGCGCAGATCCAGATCGCAGAAGTGACACAGTTCAGTCCCTCCGTCCTGACAGTACATGTCTTTTCTGTATCGCTTTCCCTCTGTTCCTTGCAGCTGCTGGGGTTTTTTTAACAATCCCTTCCATTTCTAATGCAGTGGCCTTCAGCCTGTGGTGGATGGGCCAGTGGGGCTCTGTGAGGTGTTTATGTGTCAAGCACAAGTGTGTGACAAATACAGCTAGGAAAAGCCAGCCAATTATTAGTAACTTCTCTGCACAGTGCCCTTCTACTTACTTCTCTAAGTGTTTGGATGCCTGCAAACTGAAAAAGATTGAAAGCCACTGCTCTCAGAGCATCCACATCCTCTCTCTTCCTTTGTCTTCCCACTCCCCACCTCTTAGACTGTCATGCCATTTGTGCTTATATTCAGGTTTTTTGCTTGCTGCTGTAAATGCAAGGCTCATGGACTCTCCCATTCTGCTGGTGCTGTGCCCTGAGCTGTGCTGCCTTGTCTGCTTCGTAGCTGTGGGGATGATACACTCTGTGCACTACTCCTTTATACTTTTTTCTTAACCTTGCATGCTTAAGCTGCAGATTCAAACAAGTCCACATCTAGCTCTACTGTTTTGACTGGTCGCCATCCATCTTCCAGTAGATGAGTGTTTTCTTCACTAGTTCCCACTCTTCCTCTTGGAAGTTGTTGTCCCTCTGGCTGGAAGCTATGGAGACAGTGGCTGGTGGGGAAGCCTGTCTCATTCTCTTGCAGTCAGAAGTGATTCCTGCCAGTCAGGGTTGCAGTGAGCTCAGAAGGTGGGTTTAGGGGGATAGTCACTCCTGCCGAGTGTGCTGCACAAAGACGACTTCATTCTTCAAGGCTGCCAGGCTGCCACCGCATTGCAAACTCTGAACTAACACAGGGAACGCCAAGGTGCATGGGCAGGAAAGGAGCTCATTCCTGACAAGTAGGTCACTTAAGATCCTTCTGGGAATGCATTACTCTGTGTGCTCATAAATCAGACAAATTTGGCAATTATGTCCCTATTGCCTGTAAACATCTTATGTATTTTTTAAATTCATGAAACGCTTAAGCTACAGACCAACTTATTCTGTGCCCATATATTAAGTTACCTGAAAACTACTGGTCAAAGTGAACTGTTGGAAGATATATTTTCTGACTTCCAGAGCTGGCTTGCATTTGGCTCTGTTCCCTTGCTGCTGAATGATACAGAAGGCTTTGGTATCAGAATTTCTAGAAGGTCTGCAGCTAAAGATGAAAGAAGCCTTATTCTAATTACAGACTTGGAAGACTCCTTAAAAGTCTCTGCTCAGCTGGCATTTTGTCTACAAAGTATTGGAGATACATAGAAGCTAAGAAGTCATATGCACTGCAGGTTTCAAAAGAGGACAGCTTGTCATCTCACTGAATTGCTTAGTGGCAATGTATGCTGTCATGGAAAATTCCCACATTTTATGTCAATAGAGCACACACAACAGAAAACATTCTGTGTTTTTAACTTCTGGTTTTTAGGCCTTTGAAGTAATAGTTTGAATCAGGTTTGATGCAAATGAAAAACTTCTGAAGTAATTTTATCCAACCTAGTTGCTATGGCAACCTTTAAAAAATGAAAGGCAAATAGCTCCAGTTTCAGTTCTTTCATAAACCTTTTGAGCATGCTTTCTCATGCAGATTTTTAAAATTCCCTTTGTATACCAACTTCAAGACATTTGAGCAGTCTGGAAGTTGATACAGGTTGGCCACCAGTGATATAAAGATACCAGAACAGTGAAACAGAGTCTGCAGGCTTATGGGGGTAGTGTTCTCTTAGGTTTAGAACCCATGTAGTTAACGTATTTTCCTAGGATCAGCATACATCCTTGACTGAATCTTGTAAAACTACAATCAATTTGTGGCTTTTCAAGCATTCAGTGACAACAGATAATATGTTGCTGACCGTTTTGTCCAGCTTATATCCAGACTTTGCAATAATAAAATGGATTTTCTTTCTCTGTTTAAAAACTTTGAAAGGCAAGTAATATTATATTTCAGTCTGTGGTCAGGTTTCTGCAGAGGATTCCAATAACCCACTGTCTAGCAATGTTTAAATATGTTACCTAAATTATCCTAATTAGATTAGCATAAATGCCTCGAGTGGGGAAATAAAACTTTCTTTTGACCAGTTTAGCAATGTGTGACACCTGTCAGCATTGCATTCCTCTAATAAGATGTGTGAACTGATCTGTTCTAACACGTAAACCTCTTAGTCTTGTTGAAATGCCATAATGACACTACTTTATGGCAGGGTTGTATCTGAGAGGATCTACGAAATATCGGGACAGCAAAAGCAAAGTCTAAATGGCAAGAATACTTGCCAGTATCCTGACTCCATATGTCTCAGGCTCTTAGGTAAGCTCTATTGTTCCCATGTCCCTGTTTCCACAGCAGAAATATTTGTCCATAGGAGGGCACAAAATGTGGAAGGAAATCAGAGGTTGCTCCAAACAGATCCCCAGAGCAGATGACTGGGAACAGAAACAAAGAGATCTGTCATGAATTGTACTTGACCATTTTTAGATATAATCAGAGAGATCTGAACTAATGTTTTTGAGGCAGTTCTCCAATACACTAGTTAATAATTTACACATGGCATGTCTTCATATACCTGCTAGGCTACCTCTCATGCCAGACCTGTCTTGTGACAAGACAAAGCAGAGCAGAGCCAGCATCTTTTGACAGTACTTGAATTTACTTTACTTTTAAAAGTAGGTTGTTGTTATTTGGCACTATTTTTTTTCACTTCTTGAAGAGACCAGTGGAAATGAATTCTTGCTGAAAATGCCTTGGGGAATATAAGGAAGGGCACAAGAAAATTACCACTGCTTGATTAGTCTTATAAAATTAATTGTCCTTGAAAATAAAACTGGAGCTAAATGCTCTGCAGTCATAAAACTCTGCAGGATCAGCCTTACTTGAACAGTAATGTGTTGCTGTAAAATTCCAAATCCATTCTGTATTTGGTCCCTCCTACCCAGGTCATTGCTTTTGCTGTTATTAGTACAAATCAGATTCTCTGTTAAAAAGCTCAATGGGAGTAATTGAAATTTTATTGAGAAAACGGTGGATTCTTATTCATGTCAATTTAAGCAGTACAAGAACAATTTTCAAAATGGAAAGCCACGTAGCAGGTCTAATGTTAAAAATGGATTTGTGAATAGTTCTGCAGGCACAGGGAGGCTTGTTGAGAGTATTGCTGCTGTGTTAACTTTTGACAGTGACCATGGTAACTTGTGTTCTTTTCAGCTATGCATCACCTGCCTGATTCATTTCTCTCCATTTGTGATGTGTTTTTCTGTGGTGTGAATCCATCCTTGTCCATTCTGTCACATCTTCATCTTTCTCTTGCTGCTGCTTCAGGTTTCTCTGAGCCTCAGGTAAGCGATCACAGAGAGCTTGTGCCCTGTGATGTTCAGAAAGTCTTTCTTCACGCAGGAAGTCTTTTCTGTGATTTTTAATTTAGAACTCCTACTCCTCCCGGTTACCTCCTATCCTACATATTCTCCTTCAGTTATATAGTTGAGTGTTTCCACGATGTTTACAACATATATCTTTACAAGATTCCTATATGCTATGAAATTGTGACTTCACCAGTGGTGAACTAAAAGAGGAGGAGACTGCGGCTGAGGCTTCATATATGTCTCCACGGTGAAGGTTTTACTTGGTGAAAATAAAAGAATAAAACCCTCACCTATTATGTGGTTCATGTTGCATATGAGCAGTAAGTAGTTTGCAATGATTTTTCCAGGTGCTAGATATTAGTTTTGTATCTGGTTATCAGTGAGTGTCTGGCTTCAGATTTCTGCCTTCCTCATCAGAACATTGGGCCACTTTAATGTTGCTATTCAAGAGAATTGCTAAAAGATTGCTGGTTTTTTCCAGATTTTCAATAAAATATGAGCAAAAAGCTGCAAGAGAATGTTGTGCCAGGAAGAAATTAACATATATTTTCTTGTTAATGTGGACAAAACATAATACTTTTATTTATTTACTTACTTACTTACTTAATTTATTTTCTGTCAGGCCCCTAAAAGGCTTGACTTTTTTTCAGTCCTGTTTGTAGTAATTTCTGGCTATAAGTTTAGCCACAGTATAGAATTTGGGGCATTGGTCCAAAATTTCTTGCTCTCAACTTTTGATTAAAGCACTAGTAGTGGAGGCACAATTTAGTAATGTTCCACAGACCATCCTCCATGGTCTCAAGGCCTGTCTGTTATCTATGGACCACAGATGAGGAACCTCCCCTTGTAAGTAGACGCTGATCTGTTCAAATTATCTCATTAAAGCTGTCAACATCTAAATGTGTGGAACACACATCAGAGCTCTGTGAAATCCCTGTTGAGGAATCTTTCAAACCCAGCTTGTAAATTATGGATATTGTCGTACTTTTAGTTTTGCAGCCTGTTGGCCACAGGGTTTTTTGTGTGTGAAAATTACGGGGAGGGAGGGATTTGTAAATTAATCTGAAACAAGGAGAACAATTTGCTTTTAGCTACTTTCTGTGTCTGTAAAGATGTTACTTTTGCAGAGTTGTAGACTGCTGGGAAGAAAACTTCTTCCTGAATCTAAGATACCCTCTAGGAAACAAATTACAGTGTCCATTTTTGAACATGTTTGAAAGTTTCCAAAGTGTTCTTTATTGGTCTCACTTGGATCTTGCTGGGTGATTCAATACAAACTAAGATGCGCTCAATATCATGTCTTCCATTAAAGAAAAATGCTCTTCTAAGTGCATGTCAGGAGGATATTTCTCTGGAAAACCATCAAACACTTCAAAACTCATCTGTCTGATGTTGTTTTGGTGCTAAATTGTCTGATGCTTGCTGAGGCTATTGAAGTTAGGCCAGTAAAATCTTGTTGTCTTTTGCTAGTATGGATTTCACTTTCTGGATCTGCTTGTTATAAGTGCGAAACAGCACCCATCCTAGTTTCAGCAAGCCTCCATTCATGCTTCCACCCCCAAGATGTGCAGGCAGAACTTAACGTGACAAATCGTGGGGTTTGTGTGGCCGTGCTGCCATTTGCACTTGAAGCATTTACAGCCTCACTAGTGAAGGTGAAAAGAAAACAACTCCTTTCAACTGTAACAGCATCAGATGCACACTTCTGCTTTTTGTCAGTTAGATGGTTTCTGAGAGATGGATACAGACGAGTACAGATACCAGGTTGGTTATAAGTTTATAATGTGGCTCTTCCTGCCCCTCCAGTGGCTGGACTAAGCGTAAGTGTTCAGTGTTTGTGAGCCTTGGTTTTATTAGGTCAAGAGATGAGACTTAGAGCAGAGATTCTGGTGTCAGATTTTGATGGAGAGATTGCTGAGTCTGTGTGACTCCGTGGCAAGCTTTTAAAGCAATTGATGAAAGCACAAAATCCTCTAACGTTCAGAGAGTTTTTCCAATGTATTTGTATTTAAGGTGATGTTTTGCAAACATTTCAGGAAGCTCCTGTCGTGGCAAGAGCAGCCCTGTTCCTCGAGTGTGCACGCTTTGTTCACCGCTGTAATCGTGGCAACTGGCCTGAGTGGATGAAGGGCCACCATGTGAACATTACTAAGAAAGGCCTGTCCCGTGGACGTTCTCCTATTGTGGGCAACAAAAGGAACCAGAAGCTGCAGTGGAATGCAGCGAAGCTCTTCTACCAGTGGGGAGATGTAAGTGTTTGTTTTCTCTTCTACTTACATCAAAAAATAAAACAAAATATAAAAGTAATTGAATCCTATACAGAATTTCAGTTCCAGTAAAATGGGGATTCAGAAGCCTCCCTTCCAGCTTGCACTTTGCAGCCTGCCAGGGTCAGCCCTTCTCCTAGTGGAAACTTTGTTAGGACAGAACAGTGTCCCCTTCCTTATCCTCCACCTGCTGTGCTCCCTCTGAGGATCCATTTGGTCTACTCTCCTGTTTCCACCACTTGTTTTATGTGAATGCCTAAGGAAGAGTGAGAGCAGTGGATGTGATACTATCTGCTTTTTTCTAGCTTCCAAATATTTTTAGTCCATGGCTGCTCGAGCTAGATACGGTGCTGTATATTTACTAATGGATTTCTCTTTGACGTACTTACTCAGTCACTCTTTACACTCACACAAACTGTTAGCACTCATCATTCTTTGGCAAGGAATTCTACAGGGCTACTCCATGTCATCTAAAGAACTGTCTATGTTTGTTTTGAGCTTGGCTCCTTCAAGTTTTATTTGATTGTGATCTCTTAGTGTACACAAATTGTCCTGTCTGGCCCTGTAAATGCCACTTGTGATTTCTTTGGAAACCCACCAGGGTATACTTGTTGAAGCTCTGACACTTAGTGCAAGTCATTTCACACCACTCAAAATAGCGGGAGAAGTTCCTTTGACCTCTGTGCTGCCTGTTATATATGTCTATCTGGAAGTGAGCTTTGTGCTTCTCACCTCTTTACACAAACCCAGAGTTTTTTACAGTCATCATCATGATCAAAAAAAAACCCCACACGAACATAAAATCCAAGGCTCAGGGGAATTTGAAAACTATGTATTCTTCAGTCTCAGAGTACTTACATAAGCCATGCCATAAAAGCCTTGCTGATCTATATTCTCCTAGGTTAGACCAACATACACTTCTCAGTAGAGCATGTTGAAGGGAACCTTGAGCTGGTGCTGAGCATGTCAGTACATTCGTGTTGCAAAACAGCCCGGGGGGGGTGGTCTGTCCACCCAAGCTAATAAGCTTTGTCTCTTGGCAGCTATCCTCCTTCCATTTCTGAGCAAGCTGTGCTCCCCAGGTGGCTGATTTTGTTGGCTCTGACCAGATTCCAACCAGATAGGCTGAACCATGGGGATTAACAGCTTTCTGTTGCCTTAGCACAGGCACATGCTGTAGAACATGCTGCTGTTTGTGTGGGTTAGCCTGTCCGTATGGCTGTGAGCAATATCAGCATGAAGGGTGGAATGCCTGTGTACTCACATAGCTCCTGAGCAACTCCAGCACCAAGAAGATGAGCTAGCCTCACCCAGTCCGCCTGTCTCCATGCTGCCAGATTCTTGTCAACGCTACAGCACACCATCCTTGCTGCTTGGTAGCAGCAGAACTGCTCTGCAAGGAAGATTCTTGGGAAAAGGGAAAAGATTATATTAGTCTCTGAATGCACTGAGGCTTTGTTTATGTTTTTTTTCTTGTAGACTAGAAATTTGTGCTAACTATGGATCTTTGCTTGTCTGTCATTGCTCACTAATTGCAATATACTGTGCTATTATCAAAGTTTAGTGAGAGCAAGAATGAATATAAAACCTTTTTTCCCCATCCAACTCCTTTAATTCAGCCTCCCTAAACAGCCACCAGAGAATAAGTGGTAAACCCTTTCCGCATGAGGTAGGATTTGGACTGCCTGTAACAGTGATAAGTCGATTGAATCAAGCAATCTCATATGTAATGCTGTCTTTTGAGATAATACAATGTTAAATATATTCTGTTTAGGTTAGTCTGACACTTCCTTTGGCTGCTTCTGTTAAAAGGCATTTTCTTTTAAAGTGTGGCATAAAAAAACCAAGCATAATTCACACAGATAATACATGTTAGGAATTGCGTGCTCATGAGGTAGGAAGCTGTGGGGTTATGTACAATTGCTGTAGTATTAGGGTGTAGAACAGAGCATAAATAATATGTGATAAATTACTGCCTTGTGGAGAGGTATGCAGAACATTTCTACCTTTAAGTGCCTGAAACATGGAAGGGAAAAAAGATTGTGAGAGATGTGGAGTTTAATTAGCAATGTGCAGGCTCACGGATAGCTGAGATTGGCAACTGTTCCCATCAGCTTGCAAACCACAATACCACCTTAGCCTCTTTGTGTAGCAGTCTACCCTCTTCATTGTGGCTGAATTTCACAAGACCTGCTTGGTAGCAAGGAGAAACAGCCATAATAAGGGACTGTTAATGTGTTTCTGCATCGTTTCAGCCAAGACAAGGAAAATTATACAGTGCTGGCATAACCATCAGTTTTGACTTGTAGAAGTTTCAGAAATCCTCTTTAGCATCTTTGTCTGAAACTATCCCCAAACCAAAAAGGCCAAATGGCAAGGGCTGATGAAAACTAATTAAACATCTACCTTCAGCAAGGAAAATCAAGAAAATCCTTAAGATCTCTAATGTGTCTTAGCAGGAAAGCATTCTTCTTGCTAATGCACCCTTATCTGTAGCTCTGCTGACAGCACCATGAGAGCTGTTTACGAGCTGATAATGATGCTGGCAAACAGCCACAAATAATCAATGCCTTTCTGGAGACTGTAAATGTATTTAGCGGAAATCTGTCTGTCTCTGCTCTTTACATGGATTCCCTCTAAACCACTCCCCATGTACCTTCACAGCTTTTATAAGCATGTTGTCAGCTCATTTTTGGAAAGTGCACCAGGTAGTGTCTCTTTTAAAGACAGAAGCAGGCTCTCCCATGGGCATTCAACACTTTTATAGAGGAAACAGGGACTGTTACTGTATTCCTAAGTACCAGGATAGTTTCTTAAACAAAAGACATGCATTCAGCGAAAAGACTTGGCAAAAATCTGGAATACATATATTGAGGGGAGAAAGAAAAGTGGAAGAAATTCATACAAAACAAACATCTGATCTCCTTCTGCCTGTCACGTGTTGGTTTGGCATGGGTTTTCTTGTTATTTAGCCAAATCTGCAAACTTTTTTCCTTGTGAAATTTGATACTCTTGCAAATTTTGGTTGAAAAAAGAGGGAAATAAATTATAGTTTCAGTAGCAATTAATCTTCAATCATCCTTTTTTTTCTACTTTACTGCACTTCACAGACAATAAAAATAAATGAAGCCAGGACATTCTGTGACAGCTCCATAACCTGTTCAAGGCAGAGCCCTTGGCCACCAGTCAGTTGGGTTGAAATTCTCACCTCCTTGTGCTTTCTCTTTCTCCCTGTCTGCAGGCAATTGGTCTCCGCCTCAACGAGCTGTGCCATGCTGAGAGTGAGAGCCCTGCCAACCTGCTGGGCCTCATTTATGATGAGGAGACCAAGAGGCGCCTGAGAAAGGAGGATGAGGAAGAAGACTTTTTAGATGACAGTAAGGAGACTCCCTTTACTACAAGAACCCCCGCTTGTAAGAACCTCTGCTTTAGGAGCACTTAATTTTTCTTCTCTTTTCATCCTCTTGCCACCCAGCTGTATTTCCCAATCCCTTACCTTCACCCCAGCTTCTTCCCCTGTTCTTTCCATGCCTGGATGTACAACATGACAGATGGGTAACAGAACTGAGAGACTTTGAAAGAAAGAGGGAGTAAACCAAGCAGTGAGTTGCAATTCCTGTGTATTGGCAACTGCAATTATAAGCAGGGTAATAACTCATTTCTTCAGTCTTGCTGTCACCTGAGTGCCAAAAGCGGTTCAGACGCCAGCTATTCTTCCCAGCTATTTTCCAAAATATTTGTGTAAGATCAGCTGCTTCTTCATTTCTTAACACTGAAGAGTCATCTCCTCACCTGATGTGAATTGGCATAGCTCTACCAAAGGCTTTTAAATCTTGACTTGAGTATACTTGCCTGAGTCTCAGGCAGAAATATAGCTCAGTGGCATAAAAAGTATCATTAACAATCTGTATAACCACAAGATGACTGAAACACAGTGGTGCCTGTGTGTATATAAAGGTGGTGGTGGGGTGGTGACAGATCACTGATTCTAAAAGTCTCCATAGGTGAGCAGATTATAACAAACTCTGCAAATCAAAAAAAGTGAAGTCAAAACACATACTGTTGTAGGTGAAGGTGGTAACAAACATGTCCCCTCCAGACACCATTTGTATATACGTGTGTGCTGTAATGTACTGGTTCCTGTGTACATGTACTGTTGTTCGCCATTGGATGTAGTGCATTAGCGCTGTTTGTGTATCTTCTGGTTTTGTTTTCTGCAGTTCTGAGTTAGTTCTTATAAAAGCCAGCTTTGGAGCAGAGAGGAGTAGGTGAGAGCAATGAAATGGCATTTGTGGGAAATGATCCCAAGAGAAGGTATTGGCTCTAAGCTAGACTTTCACATGTGGTATGTCAGTGCTAATGGCTATGTGAATGGGGGTGGCTGTGCTGGATATTTTGTTTGGATGTATCCAAAGCAGGAGGAGAGTGCACCCAACATTTTCACTCTCCTGCAACATGAATGAACATCAGGCTTCCCATGACAGAATATTCACAGAATAGGCTTTCTTCCCCCTGTTCAGCCATGGATACCAGGCATTCAGGAAATGTGGAATTACTTTAAAAGGGTGGCCTAAGACAAGCAAACAGAGAGAACAGGTTGTGCTCTAGAAAGCCACTTAAAAGCTCAACTGTTCTGAAAGTCAGAGTCTGAAAATACCTGATCTACATTCTTGCTGAAGGCAAGGATTTTTCAGAAGCTGTCCTGTATGCTGTAGGGAGCAGAATGCAGAGTATAAAATATGCAGTTAGATATTTCATTACACTGTATGTCTTTTCTGTATTTGATGGTTCAGATTATTTTAGTCCCTGCAGATTACATATTTCGTTATTGGTAATGAGTACAGAGGAATTAGCAAGCATCACAGAATTAATCTGGTTTTGTCTGATCCATGCAGTGTCCTCTCACTTGTTTGGTTTGGACTCTTTCTTTGCACAAAGTAATTCAATCATACATGGGTGAAAGCAAGGGAAAATACTAATCCCTCTGAAGTGTATGTAGATGGTAATACCAGGAGTTACTAAAAAATTGACTTTTTACTGTCTATTAACCTAAATAGTATTCTTCAAATCAATCAAGCATTTCTGAAGAATCCTTCATACTTTTCAAGTTTTAAATGGCGTTAGGTGGGCTACAAAGTATAGGACTTTTGAAGAGAATCGTTTAGACTCAGTTGAGACAAAACTTCAAGTATTTCAGTAATCCATTTTCCCTTTTCCACTTTGTTTTAGGTTAAGCATTTGAATGTATAATTTGATTAAGCAGTTAAGATCTTTTTTCTACTTTATTATCTGTAAATAGCACTTGGATTCTTTGCACAAATAAAGAAGCCTGACTTCAAAGGAGGCTGTCTCTTCTAGTTATCAGGGTAATAATTAATAATAGGCATAGTACCTCTTTGCTTGCTTGTCATAACTCTGTGTATTTTGAGAAAAATTTCTATATTTGGAAGTGGCTTTTTTCTAGAACTGCAGAGTATTTCAATGCAAAAATTGTAAAGGGGAGGAAAGGCATCTACTTCTAGGACATTGTAGAGAGGTTGGTGCTGGTCTCTTCTCACAGGTAATTAGGGACAGAACCAGGAGGAATGATTTCAAGTTGCAACAGGGCAGGTTTAGGCTGGACATTAGGAAGAAATTCTTCACTGAAAGAGTGGTCAGACACTGGAATAGACTGCCTAGGGAGGTGGTTGAGTCACCGTCCCTGGATGTGTTTAAGTGTCACTTAGATGTGGTGTTGGGTGATACGGTTTAGGGGTGAACTTGTAGTGTAGGGTTAATGGTTGGACTCGATCCTAAGGGTCTTTTCCAACCTGAATTGTTCTATGATTCTTAACCTGTATTAACTTTAAATGAGGTGTATACGAAAATGCCAGAAGATCATGCTAGTTTAGTGGGTACTTCACCATAAAATACTATAATATGTACTACAGGAAACTATAGCGTTACTTCACTGTAAAGTAATACAATACAATACAATACAAAATAATGCAATACAATATAATGTACACTACAGCATGATAGTACTATTGCATGTGTGGGTTGCTTTTTTTTTTTACTATGTTCCTTTTAGTGTATGAAAAGTGGGAGAGATAGAAGTCTGGGGTTTCTTCTCTTTTAGTGCAGCTTGCATTGTGCATCATATGTGAAAATGTCCATCACCTCTTGGTTGCAGATTTTGTCTAATCTTCTTGCTCACCATAGAAATATCTATTTCCTAGGCACTGTGAATCCTACCAAATGTTGTTGTCCTTTTGCACTGAAAATGGCAGCCTGTCAGCTCCTCCTGGAGATAACCACTTCCCTACATGCCCAGGCCACGTACTGAGCCTCTTGTGGTAAGTGGGCATCACACACTGGAGGGGAATTGTGTCCACAGAAGTCGCTGGGCTTTAGGCCTGCCTGAGGAGAGGTGGGATGATAACTCAAGTATACCTCTGATGCGGGGAGAGAGGAGCTGTCTGGTGAGTAGAAGATGGGCAGGGCACATCAAATGGGTTGATTAAGAATATAAGACTGCGGTAGCGCAACATGTACTGGAAGTTCAAGCATATTCTAAAACAGAGAAGAGGGCAGATGATGGATTGATAAATAGTGGGGGACCTGAGAGGTGTGGTAGATGGACTGCAGGAGGTGACAGCTCACGTGCTACCTAGCATGTGATTAGTAGGACTAGTTGACAGAGAACTAAACAGGGCAGTTAGCAGAAAGGAAGAGGGTGTTTTACAAAGTTTGCTGGAGCTTAAAAATTGCAGATTTTTGCTTGGGTTAGACAACAGAATTGAAGGGACTGGGGGAAGAAAGGAAAGAAACAGAGACAAAGAAGCAAGAAATGAAGTAAATCTCCACAAGACTGAGAGAGTCACAGGAAAATCCTGGCATGAATAGTAAACTAAATGACTTATTAGGTGACAAATAATTATGTGAATAGCAGAACCCATGAAACCTGACTTCTAGTGGTTCATCCTTGTGTGAGTTTTCTTATGTCTAATAATGTGGTTTAACATTGTCTTCAACTTGTTGTTTCACAAAATACATGGGCACTCAGTTATCCTTTTTCAAATTTCTTTAGGAAATCAGGATAAAAATTAAAAAGAAAGAATGAGGAGCAGTTTCCAAGTGAACATGAAGGATTTAGCCCAACGCTATTCTGGATTTTGTTAATGACAGACTTAGATCAAATTTTGCTGATGACAATTGTTCTTGACAGACTAATTTGACTGGTCATTATTGTAATTAGGTTCTAAAATTTGTTTCAAAGATTGTAGATGATCTATGATGAAGTGACACAGCCCCTAGGTATGCAAGAAGGGCAATTTTAAAAACAGGGCTAAATTCAGCAGAAGTCTTCCTAAGCACTTTGTTGATATTATTACCTCAAAATGAATGACTGCATCTAAAAGCAGGATAATAACCAGAGATTAGAATTCATTTCAGTAAGTAGTGGAGCTTGGAATTAAAAATATGTTGAGTAATGAAGGTCAACAGAAATTTGTCCTTTTGTGCCTGATAGAAATGAAACTGATTAATTAATAGCTTTTCAGACTTGTATATGGGAGAGAAGTAGGAGGAATTATTCTGTGATGCGTAGGCAGATGAAAACTTAAGGTCAGGTTATGCAAGAACTTCTTAGAGAAAATGGCCACAGAGATCTTCTTTTAACTTTGTATGGGGTGGGAGATTGGGGAGGAGGAGCCAACAATTCTGCAAATTAAAATATTAAGTCTGTTGTGAGTTTTTTTGAAGTGATGATTCCTTTCTGAAAGAATCAGGTACATAATGTTATGGTCCATAATGCTGAAATTCCAACAGAGCACATCTCACTTGCATTGGTATTTGTAGGCATACCTTAGGTACAGACTTAGCGGCCTTGAAGAACTGAAGCATTCGCAGCTGAACTAGTTGTGATGAACCATTTTAAGTACCCACAGTCCATGCAGGCTTGCCAGGCTGAGGGCATAAGCACCCACATCGAGATTCCTGCTCAGTCCCCATATGTTGCCTGGTCTAGTCAAGAGGTGGCGTCCCTGCCCACAACAGGGAGGTTGGACTAGATGATCTCTAAGGTCCCTTCCAGCCTAGGCCATTCTATGATTCTATGATTCTATGATCTGAGTGAGATAGGGAGTCCTGACAGAAGTTTCAACCAACATCTGTTACTGAAGCTGGTGGAGTAGGTACAAGCTCACTTTGCAAATGGATGCAAAATCATTCATTTTAGCTAAGCATCTGCCGAAGTCAAACTGTGTGCTAAGAGGGAGTATTTCATTCCGTCAGTTGATTTATGGGGGCAGCAATTTCCAAGCCGGGAGGAGTAGTGTGTTTAAACACAGAGGAGAACTTTGACTATGCCTTAGGAACACAACTGTACTGCTGTCGTGGCTCAGCTTACACATGCTGATTCTTGAAGATGCTGTAATTCAGATAGATTTGATCACAGATTTTTATTCTCAAATGCTTTAGCCTTTGTTTCATATCCTAAACTCTTAGATGCATTTTAAACTATTTACATGGAAGTTTACAATGTTAGAGGTACTAGGAGCCCTTACTTTAAGCACTTTCCTTTTTATATCCCAGGTTTTGTGATTGAGCGAAATCAAAATATTTCCCTTCTGGCAATCAACTATTAGCTTTTCTGACAATCATTTATGATGATTTTCCCTGGAGATGCAGAGCTGACTGCAGATGGTTTTGGACCTTCAGCTGCTGTTAAGATAGGCTAGTTAAATCATTTCAGCACAGCTCAGTCTAGAACATATGTTCAAGAAGACCTTTTTTTTTCCCCAAATCAACTTATAGAGTAGCAGGTTTTGTTGCTGCACAAGTAACTGCCGGTACCTTCTATAGGAGTTTTATGTGCAAATTTCTGTATGAGATCTCTGGAGCCTGCAGAATTTTATCTGGAATAATTATTTTGGATAATTTTACTGATGTTACTCACATTCATCAGTCATTTACTTACAGCAAGGAGCTTGGTGTCATCTTAGATTTCAGCTAGTTACATTTTGGGTGTGGAAATCTCAAAGCTGATGACATTCCCACTGAAAAGGCACAAATGATGTTCTTAAAGAGCCCGAAATTTTAACTGTGTTTGCCAGTTTTTCTAGCTGTGGTTAGAGTAAGGGGGTGATAATCCACAGCTTGTAGAATCCTAGGATTTTTGCCTTTTGGCCCCATTTGGTAGCCAGTAGGTGGCACAAATTGATGCTGTTTCTGTTAATTGGAGAAAATGACTTCTCATTTTCTAGAATTTAAGTGCAACCAATATTTTTCTTATTCTGTGTTTTCCACACTATGTCCTTTCAGCCTGAGCTGCACACCAAGAGCTTGCTCTGGGTCATGCTGTCATGGCTGTCACGTTGCCCACTAGCTTTCTCTCAGCTTTTTCCCTCTGATGAGTACAGTGGCAACACATTCCCTAATCAACCACAGGCAGCCTTTTAGAGTAGACCTAACCATCCAGCCAGCATCTTATGCAACAGCCACTTTTTATTGCCACCTACCCATTAGGGACTATTTATGTGTTTTCCCTCTGTCTGTTCACTCAGCAGTGTTAACCAGAAATATGTGTTAACACCTGTCAATTCTTCCATCCTGGCAGTGTGGCTTGGGGTGCTGCAAGCCTAAAGAGTAATTCCATTAGAAAGCGTCAAGATAGATGGAAAACTGTGTGATATGAATTAATTCCCATCTGAAGCAGTTCTTCTGAAGCATCTGTGGTTGCAGTGAAGGGCATGGGGGTCATACTGCTTCTACATCTGTGTTGTCTACATTCTGCTACAGGATCTGGAGAGCTGCAGGCTACGTCTGGACCCCGAGATGGATCGGCACAGGTATGAAAGAAAGATCAGCTTTGCTGGGGTTCTGGATGAAAATGAAGATTCAAAGGATTCCCTGCACAGCAGCAGTCACACCCTCAAATCTGAGGCTGGCTTCGAGGAGAAAAAAGGTTTGTCAGCATAATAAGGCTTTTGTATTCTCAGGGCTTGTGAAGTGGCGCTTGATTTGATGTTTTCATTTGCATAGACTGTGTTAAAAAGCAGGCAGCCATGGAGTCACGTGGCTTTGAATCATTTCTGAGATGCTTCTGGCCTTCAGGGTTCAATACAATAAATGTGAGAAGCAAAGATGTTAAATTTTATAAAACACTGCTATGACTGAAACCAACTGAGAGCATGACAAGATTTTTAAAACAGAGGATGTCTAGTTGGAAACAATCTCTCAGTGAGATGCTGAGAGAAGCACCACTATTTGGTTAACTTTAAAAATAAAGATCAAAATTGTTCTTGTTTGTTTTTTATTCTGATTACAGTTTTTCATTTTGGGAGAACCACAGATAGGAGGGAAGATCGGAAACTTTCTGTGAAAATCTGTACCAGTTTGGGAGTCATGGCATCTCACAGAATTAGTGGTTGATCACTTGATCTCTTGAAGTCTTTGCTACCACATGAAAAACACAGACCTGTGTGGCTTTTGATGGCTAGCAGATTAGTGTTACCAACATACTGTATACTGTACAAGCAAACCTCAAGCTTACTGTGTTTGCTGAGAAGAGCAGATTGTTTCCATTTTTGAGCCATCTCATGCAAAACTCACATACTATCTGATGGTACAAGTGTTGCAATACAATATACAGTCATCGTGCGTATTTGCAATTAGAAGTTAAACTGCCAGACAGTTATCTGTAAATGATTCGTCCTCTAACAAGTTTTCTAGAACTGTTTAAATTCTGCCTCATAGCCATATAAACGTGCAGGTGTTTGAATGATAATTTTGATGATTGTTTGAAAAGGATAAATGTTTGATAATTGCTTGGTGGCTGGTTATCCTCCAGGAACTGTAATGTGTATTAATGATTCAGAGGAGCTTTTATTGACTTCAGGGGCTTTGGATAATGTTTGCAATGTCTTCAGCTGTGACCTTGCCACAATTAGAGAAAATGCTAGAACTGCTTCCAAAATTTACGTGGTGTAAAACTGTCTCCAAAATTGTGTCAGGTTGGGACAGTTATTTCTGTAAAGACAGCTAGATATCCACCTAAGAGAGGTGAGCTGAATAAATTAATGCTCAACCTCATTTTTTTTATACCCTTGGCATTTTGACAGCCTGGAGAAGCACACAGCCTTATGGTCTGTCGGATAGTCTAAGATCAGTGGGATAAGATATCTCTAACTCTTCAGATGAGGAAAAACTTCAGTTTGCGGTTGGTTTGGGTGGGGTGTTTTTAAGATAGTTGTGACAATTACTTGAAACCACCTTTCAGCCTCTCAGCCACCAGTCCCATCCCCTGGGATGTTGCCTGAGTGGGAGAATGCCTATGAACACACAGTCCTGCTGGAAAATGCTGGTGACTGGTATCTAACTATCCTATTTTTTTAGAGACAGTGCTAACTTAGGTTTTACTTCGTGTGTTACTGTGCTACAGGCATAATGCAGAACTGAGTTACTTTTGCAAAAATAGCATTAACATTGTGCATCCCTGACTCTGTTCAACTACGCTTTCTTTTCAGCTGGGGTTTTTTTTTCAACCCAGTTTTCCTTTTCCCTAAGCTGTCATATAGCATTCCCTCATTAAAGCTGCCTCTTGGCTATGTTTTAGAGATGGGAAAAGTGACTATAGTAGGAAGGCTGAATCCTAATATACTAATATACTTTAGCAAAAATGTATTTGCAGTATTTTGGAAGCTAAATATATGCAATATAATGTTCAATTTTTAAATTACAATCATTATGTTCTTTTCTCTGGCCACAGCATATTCTCCTGGGGATCCACCTGGGCCAAACATAACAGATGCAGAAGCATCTTTTGTAATCTACACTTTTCTAGATAAGAAAATGTTGTTGTGTGAATGTAACTAAATTTTTATTGCCTGCAGTGACAGGTTTCTTTATCTCTACCTCTTTGATGAGTACTAATCTGTTTCCTTTCATTTTTTGTGGAGTGTTAAAAACTTTGCTCTCATTGCTCACCTCAGGTATGGCTTAACAGCTATCCAAAAGCTACAAGTTTACTGTATAGAATCTGCTCCAGGTAGGTCTGAAATACAGACACTAAAGCTTAGGTAGACACAGGCTCTCATAGGATCATATCTATTATTTGGATGATAAAATGGGATTTGGCAGACTTCCTGTAATAAAGTTATGAGCGCTTAAGTGGTTTGGTCTTGGGGGGGAACTGGGCCACTGCTGATCCGAACAGAATTCAAGTAGCAGCACTTGCTAAGGAACTCAGCATGGTCACTTGAAGGGAGATTCTCTGGTCACTGAACAGTGATTTGCCCAGCTGATTCATGAGGACTGAGGAGTAGCTTCCAAAACCTATCCAGCTGTCTTCAGCCAGGACATTAGCCACTGGAAATGAGAGTGGGAATTGGATTCTGAAGGAATTAGGGGCATTCTCAGGAGTAAAGGTGTGCTTGCTTTTTCCTGAAGCCAAAATACAATTCTGTTAAAATATTTTGCTTACCCCTGGTATCCAAAAAGCTGTATCCTGTTCATTCTCGACAACACACCAAAAGGTAATCGATCACACGTGGCCTTGCCTGATTAGATCTGCAGTAAAATGACTGAGTGTTGCAACATTTGGACTGACATACTGCCATGTACCGCCTTTGAACTAAGAGGAGAATGAAAATGCAAACGGTTGGTGCTTTGAACATTGAACCATTTCATGTCTGTGCTCACCAAAAATGCAGAGTGTCAATGGATGTTGTTAATGCCTGAAAGCTGCTGATTTGTCTGAAGGAGAGGATCTGCGTGCTCCCGTTTCCTCTAAAGCATTCTAATGATGAAGAGTAACATGTAGAGACACGGATTTATGCAAATATTGCTTCAAACAAGACTTTCGTGCTAACCTCTTGAAGCAGACTACCCTTCTGCAGTCACACGTGATCCTACTGCAGAGCTCAGTGAGGTTTACAGATCCCAGGCCCACTGGAAAATAGGTTTGTCCATGGTGCCTTGTTCATGCTTGGGATTCAGCCATCTATCCCTAGCAAGAGGTGACTCTGCACTAACGTAAACCCCGGGGCTGGCAAAGAAAACTGCAATTTACATCCATGGGGAAGATCCTGTTTCCTGGCAGGAACTGATGCAAATTGGTGTGAATCGTAGGTTTTCCTTGTCCATGTTCTGGGTTTCTGTTAGAGCAGCTGACTCTACTTGCTGGTGGTTGAACAAGGGCTAATTCCAAATACAGACAAGGCCTGAGGTGACGTACCAGGTCTCCAGGAAATGAGGTGCTGAACAGGTTTCCTTAAAGCATCTTTACTGCCCGATTGATAGAGCTGCATTGGCGGTGGCTTTGGAGGGAGCCTCTGGTCCCACGTTCCTTGAGAGAAGAAAAGATGCTGCAATACAGGCTGGCAGCCGAGGGTTGGGAGGGAGGGGAGGGCCAGGATATCTTTCTTTTTTTAAATGGGGAAAATTTAAGGGGAAAAAAGTCCTCTTTTATTCTTTTAATACAGTTCCCAGCAGGAAGATCAGGATAGGAGGCTCCCGCTTGCTCCAGATTAAAGGAACCCGCAGTTTCCGGGTGAAGAAGGGGGGTTCCCTTTCCAGCATTCGCCGGGCCGGCAGCCTAAAGAGCACCAAGTTATCACGGCAGGACTCAGAGTCTGAGAATGAGGAGCTGCAGCTGTCCCACAGCAGGGACACTGTCACTGATATAGGTAACTTAGATGAGTGGGTGGAAAGGGAGGGGACAATAGGCAGGACCTAAACTCTGGATGTGATTGTAGCAGAGCTAGAAATGACAAAAGACCTCCCATCCCAGCAGGCTAGGAAAAACCTCGAGTCCTCTTCAGGGAGTCCCTGAACTAGGGCCTGGGAGGAACGCGGTTTAAGTCCTGGGTGCAGCGTTGGCTCCGTGTACAGGTTGTCAATTCAGAGCTCCGTGTTAGAGCATGAACTCTTGGAATGCTGGTGCCTGCCAGCCAAACGCATGCTGTCTTTAGGGGAGCACATGCATGTGTGTATATGCACATACACACACCCTTAAATCATATGATATAAAGAATACATGAGGTCATATGCACATATGATATTTTATTGTCCGTAGTAACAGATAAAAGATATATATGTACACGTATGGACACGTACTTCATGTTCTGTGTAGGATATGATATCATAGGCATGTTGTATGACATGTAATATATATATTCCAATATGTAGAACATAAACATGTACATGCTACATACTCTATTTCTACATATTGGCATATACATATATTTCTACAGTTTACAGATGCCTTCCTTAGTCTTCAAAAGATGGATCACCATGTATTTCTTATGGAAGCCAAATGTGCATCGTGCCACAATAAACCTCCACTGGAGTTTAACTAAAGGGGCTCCCTCTGCTAGGGGTGCTAACCAAAAAAACATCGTTTGAATACATTTGGAGCTGAAATAACTTCCCAAGCTTAATGGTAATTTTTATGTTGCCCAAAAGATGCTTCGGCAGGTGAACACGAGGAGTGGGACTGCCTGTTCTGTAGACTTTGGCAAGTCACAGTTCACTTAGAGAAAGAAGGGTTTAACCAGATTTGATCCCCAGCCATCTCTTAACAGCATTAGTATTAATTTTACAGGGGCCCCATAGGTTACAAAATAGCTCTAGGAAACACAGGAATCCATGAAGTTTCCAGAAAAATCTCTCCCTTGCCCAAGTTCTTTAGAACTAGTGTGCTAGAATCAGGATTTTTTTCCCCTTTCATCCCCATGACATTATCAGTTTCTATGGGCAATAAGTAGTGACTTTGTCCACTGGCATTTCCAGTTGGATGCCACTTCTGGTTGGATTTTTGTTGACATTTAACCACAGAGCCCAGTCAATGCAGATCACTAAACCAACCATTTGCAGCATCTGAATGGTGCAAAACATTTGTTTCTGATGTTTTTCGTTTACCGTCTCCCCTTCCATTAAAGAAAAAAGTGGGGAGGGAGCAGTGTTTCCTACTGACAAGATGGCCCGTGAGCCAAGTCCAAATGGTTCTTGTAATTGTCAAGCCAGCATGATACAGGGATTGGGAAGGGCTGTCCAAACTCAGTCTTTCCAGTGCGGCATGTTCTGTGTAATCTAGTCTGTTCCCACAAGGCTGGCCTGGCTTACAAGTGCTGTCCCTAATCTTAAAGCACATAGGGACCAATAAAAACAACCACCTTTTGGGTATTTTTCTTTTGAAGAAGGGAGCCCTTGGAGCGCGAGCGAACCTAGCATTGAGCCCGAGGTGCTGAGCAACACAGGCATGGAGGAGAACTATCATCGGAACATGTCGTGGCTGCACGTAAGTATGAGTCGCCGGCAGCACTGTCAAGGATGGCATTTTCAGTAGGAAAAGCTTTGTGCTGGCAATAATCCTATCACAATCCATGCTTTCTCCATATAGCATCAAGGATCTCAAGTGTAAGTAAGCTGCAACTTTTGGAAATCGTCTTTTTGCCATTTCTAAAATGGACTAAAACCAAGAAGTTTTTGTCTTGCTCCCTCTGTGTATTTCATTTATTTAGTTTGTAAGGGAAAAGGGACTGTTTCTTTCTAGATGTGCAGGGACAGCCATGCTACCTCAGCTGAAAAATCCCCTACCTCAGTATCTTATCTCCAGCATGGCAAGGAGTTGGTAGCTTGGGAAGAGTAATAGAATGGACAACAGTATGAACTAGGCTCCCCGCTTCTGGGAAGTGGCGTTTTAGAAGCTACTTCAGCTGGAGGGTCTGTTGTGACCACTATATTTACTAACTACCAGAAGATTTTACCTAGGGAGTTTTGCAACCCCTTTTTGAGCCAATTTATGTATTTTTGTCTCTGTTAACTCTATGGCAGTGAGCTTAATTAGGCACCTTGTGGGGGAGAAGATACTTACCTTTGACACACTTTCTTTGATTCCATTAGATGCATTCTATCACACTGTGTAACCCAACATGGAACTTGTGCAGTTTAGACTATCCAACAGACAGGGAGCACAACAGTGTAAATGTGGTTTGGTCATGCAAGGCCTAAGACATCCATTTAGGTGATCGTTGCACCCATGCCAAAAGTCAGTTGGGCAAGTCTACATAGTTCAATCCACTGGTATCCAAGGACCAATCACCTCTACCTCTGCTGCCTCATGACGCACTGTGGTGGTGCAGCATGGTCAGTGTGTCCTTGTGCTCATGCTTTGCAGAAAAGTTGGATTGACTCTCTGTACACAGATTGATAGTATCCTGCACATGTATATGAGAGCAGATGCCTTTTGACTTCTGAGTGGCTTTTAGAAAAGAAAGCTGGCAATAACGAGTTAATATACCCCTCTTTCCATCAAGTCTGCTCTCAACTAATTTTTGTGGGGTGTGGGCAAGAACAGACTTAATCCAATAAGGCAATGTCAGAAGCAGTTCTTGAGAGCTGTCTTTTTTGGATGAGGGTGGCAAGACAGGGAACTTGAATGGCATGTCTTCCAAACAAGTGCCTCAATCCCCTGCACTACCCTGCTTTTCTGTCAGTACCCTAGTGCTCTTGGTAATGAGATTGCACCTTTGGAAATTCCAGTGTACTAATCTGAGTATGTTAGATATGAGAGTGTGTACTAGATGATGGATTGCTAGAGATCAAAGGCATCTCTCTAGCTAGCAGCTTAGGATAACTCATGGTGCCTTTGCTCAATGTGGGAGGATGCATGGGCTCATAAATACAAGGCATAAACTGAAGGAAATTTGAGATGTTTGTCTCACTTTACATGTGATTAGCCTGCATAGGTGAAAGGAAGATTTGAAAAATCACCTGTTCCAGTTAATGCCACGCAAGTACCAATATCGCATGAGAACTTTCTCTTTTTGTTTGTTGGAAAGAATGTATGGGTGGATGGTCACTAAAACTACAGGCAAAACAAAACCCTGCTTCACTTAACGGTCCACCACTCGAAAAGATCACTGATTCCAGTCACTTTTATGCATGCACCGTTTCCTTCACCTGTCCTTCATGGCAGCCTAGAGCATGATGTCCTCACTCTGTGTCAGTGTACTGTAACTACAAGTTGTAACTGTGGACCAGAGGCTGGGTAGAGGCTATACAGTGCTGCTCAGATTTATACCATTTGCACATTGATACAACACTCTAATGGCTGGAGTTGATTGACTCTAGAATAACACGAGGCCAGAGCAGGAAAAGACAAAAATCCCATGTATGAAACACAGGTTTCTTTTAAATCAAGCTCCTAACTTTTTAGAAGCCTGAGTATTTGAGGGTTGAAAGCTGCCTTTCTCTAGAGATCCATCAGGCTGCAACGGCAGAGACCATAAATGGGTGGAAAAGAACTTATTTCTGGTAGTTCCATGTATTTCTGCACAAGGTTTTGGGATGAAGAGAAGGATTTGTAAAGGCCAGTTATGACCTACAGCGTGAATGGCTTAGGGGATGCCTGTGTGATTTCCTCAGAGTGGTAGTAAGTGGCTGAGTTTATGTGTAACATGGACACCATGGACACATGGACACCAGTGCACAAAAAGCTGCTGGACTGAGTTTTGCTCCTCTGGGAAGAAATCCCCTGGGTTACACCAGAGAGCAGTCACTGAAGTGTAGACTTACGACTGTCTTTAATTAATTAGTTTAGGAACTAATAGCAGTGTTGCTGCAGCAAAATAGGGCTCAATAGCTAAATGCCCAAACATTTACTGTCTCTTAGATGGGTTTTAGAGCTCCTTGCTGGCGTATAGCAGAACCTCTAGAAATAGCAACTAAGCCAAATAACATAAAGCTAGGCTGAATGGGTCTACCCGAGCACAGTGAGGGTAGCATATGTGGAACAACTCACACAGCTTATTCCTATGTGAGAGCATACCGAGACATTTCCTTTCTTATTCTTTGAAGGAAACTAAACCTGGTAGGTTTGCAGCTTTAATGATTGAGTAGTTGACAATTTTCAGTCTAAGCGGTCATCTCAGAGTGATAATACCACAGCTTTTCTGCAAACTGAGAGAGAACCTCAGCCTTAACCTTGCCACCAGGCAAACATCATATCAACAGCAGCTCTATCTCTTCATCTGCTTTGTTAACAGTAATGTTTCTTTAGCTATGCCTAGAGGGTTTGTAAACTACTTGCAAGTATGGAGCTCTGCACAGACATACATACCTTTTCGAAAAGCTGTGTTGAGCTTCATACATCCCTAGCCAGACTGTGGAAAATTAGCTTGACTATCCCCATCACTGGCTGCCCTATGCAGCTCTCTGTGTAACTCGCTTTGCTGTAGGTAACTATTCTCTATTTTTCTTTTCAAGGTTATGATCCTATTATGCAACCAGCAAAGTTTTATATGCACCCACATTGACTACTGTCACCCACACTGCTACCTCCATCATAGCCGGTCCTGTGCTCGCCTTGTCCGGGCCATCAAACTCCTGTATGGAGACACAGTGGACTCTCTGAGGGAAAATAGCACATTGAACAGTGTGGCAAGAGGCAAAAAACAAAAAGAAGTGAGTAAATGGAAAAAGCAGAATGTTTTGGTTTTTCTGAGTAGCTCATAATAACCTTTAAGGTCAGCATAACCCACTCAAACAGTTCTTTCAGGACAAAATGAACACAACACTTACTAAACACAGCTTTGTTGTAAAAAACCCTATTAAGTCATTTAGCTTTATGGAAGGAAAGTAATCTGTATTGATTGGGAAAAATCTTAGTTGCTGATAAGGTTGTTTAAAAGCTTATAACCTCACTTTTATTTTAATGTTCTTTTATGGCCTCTACTTACCAGCCTCTGGAGTCCAGTCTTCCTTTTTATGGTTATTCTTTTCTATTAATAAGAATCACTCTGGAAATTTTTGTAAAATCTTGCATAATTCCTTTCTTTCAGTCTGAGCTCTCAGAGCTATTCCAACCATTGTATACATTAATCTTTAATGTTACAATCTCTTTAGTGATACGCTTTAAATGGCCGGGTTGGCAGACGATTCAAACAAGATTGTTCCTTTTTAACCATACAAAGTGGTGCCTTTAACTCTGGCAGAAATACATTTGTGCTTTCAGTAAAGTGCCCACCCAGGTACCAACTGGATTATGTCAACAGTTGGTTAATACTTTCATATTCCTGACCACAAAAGACAGACTATAATTACTCTGAATACTTACAATGGTACAGTCATTCAACTACTTTGCAATACAATACAAACAATAGTGTTCATGAAACTCTCAGGAAGATTTAAGTTGGGTAAAGATGCTAATAAGTGGAAAACGAAAGAGTAGGAGACAAGTTCCTGTTTCTTCATCAACCAGCAGATTCTTTGTTTCCTGTCAAGTTAGAAAATTGAAGGGTATTTGTGTGGAACAAATCACAGAGCAGATGAAACAAAAGTTTATGGTTCTGCTTTCCTGGGAGCTATTACCCCCATATATTTCCTCTGGAATGGAAAAGTAGTGTATGAGTTATTTAGGAAGAGAGGCAGTCATTTCCTCTACAGAAGGCAGCCTTGAGATGAGATGAGCAGCTGGCAGTGTTCATGAAAGGTAGCAGAAGAACACCGTGCATTACTGCGTGTTGTTTCATCTCCAGCTTTAAACTGCAAGGCAAAGTGATACACATTTCATCATCCATCAAGCCTTCAAAGCTTTTAAGCAACAGCAAGGAAAAAAAGAGATTGGCAGGACAATAAGGTTTCCTCCAAACACGTGCACCATGTTTGTCCAGATGCTGGAGGAGAGCATTAGGTAAATTTTGAATTTTCTGTAACAGTAGATTTTTCAACCCAGTTCCTCATGCTCTGGTATTCTTCAAGTGCTGTTGTTCTCTGATGGCACAGGCACCATTTCCACACTCACCTGGGTTCCAGGTGAACCTCTCTTTTACTCTTACAGCTTGCAATAGGTAGGCTGCAATATGCAGACTTGGCTATGTGCTCCCTGGGGCTTGTGAGCTCTCTGCTAAATGAGAATAACTGTGTTAATCAACAGGCTACTACCTTGAGGAGAAGAGTCTGTGGAAACCCAGAATTCTAGGAAGACTCCCTGGTATTGTGAATAATTAATATAAAAAGGACTTATCATCACTGTCACTGGCAATATGCTAGGGACAACTCTCAGGCAGGCATGAGCTCAAGTCCTGAAATGTGATGTCACTTACGTTTTCTGAGCATGAAAAGAAGACAAATGTAGCTGACAGGAATCACAGCACACACTAAACATCTCTGTTGGTAGGTTTTTTAAGAAAGAAGTTGAAGAATTTTTACCTCTGACCTGCTTAAAGCACCGAAAAACATAGGGATGCCACCTGTGAAGATTACAGTGAGCACATTCACATTCCTTATTTGGTTTACTCACTTCTGTCTTAAGCTTAATGAAAGGCATTGTTAAAGAGAAGAAAATTGGTGGAGATATGTTATGTCACGGATATTGGCCTATTGCCAGCACAGAAGAAGGTCTTGTGCTACAGCTGTGGTACTAGACAACTTCTGGTATGGAAATTCCTTCTCCTTTTCCACATTTTTGGAAATCTAAAGTTGAACTCCATTTTCTTTCTTCTTTTTTTTTTTTTTTTTACCTTCCAGTGCTCAGACAAGTCATGCTTGAGAACTCCTTCTCTAAAAAAGAGAGTGATCGATATCAACTTGGAAGGGAAGAAGGACTCTGGAATGCTAAAATACATCAGGCACCAGGTACTGACTAGGCCACATGCTAGTTAGCGAGCTTGATATATAGGTGTCAGGTTAGTCTGCAATAAGAAGGAAACTGTAGGTGGATCTCCAAGCCTGTGTGAGGAACTGTTCCTGAATATCAATCG